AACAGCTGGTTGATCCTGCCTGTAGTAGTCATATGCTTGTCTCAAAGATTGCATGTTTTCAGCCGAATTAAAGTGAAACCGCGAGACGCTCATTAATCAGTTATGGTTCCTTAGATTGCACACACAATTACTTGGATAAATGTGGTAATTCTAGAGCTAATACAAGCAGCATAAGTCTTACCGGTAACGAAAGGACCGCTTTTATTAGATCAAAACTGGGTGAAACTAAATAACTTGAAGCTGATCGCACGGTCTCGCACCGGCGACGCATATTTCAAATATCTGCCTTATCAACTGTCGATGGTATGTTCCGAGCTTACCATGGTCGTAACTGGTAACAGGGAATCAGGTTTCGATTCCGGAGAGGGAGCCTGATAAACGGCTACCATATCCAATGAGGGCAGCAGGCATGCAAATTACCCACTCCCGGCACGGGGAAGGTAGTGACGAAAAATAATGATACGGAACTCGCTCGAGGCCCCGTAATCGAATGAGTACACTGTAATCCCTTTAACGAGGATCAATTGGAGGGCAAGTCCAATAGCGTATATTAAAGTTGTTGCGGTTAAAAAGTTCGTAGTCGAATTGTGTCTCGCGCCGCCGGTTCACCATTCGCGGTTTCAACTGGCGCGTCGCGAGACTTCCTGCCGGTGGACTTGGCTCGGTCCGACTCAATCCTGCCGCGGTGCTCTTCACGGAGTATCGAGGTGGGCCGGTCGTTTACTTTGAACAAATTATAATGCTTAAAGCAGGCTAAAATTTTGTCTGAATACAGTATGCATGGAATAATGGAACAAGACCTCGGGTCCGTTTCGTTGGTTTTCGCATGGTAATGATTAATAGGAGCGGATGGGGGCATTCGTATTGCGACGTTAGAGGTGAAATTCTTGGATCGTCGCAAGACGGACGGAAGCGAAAGCATTTGCCAAAAAAGTTTTCGTTGATCAAGAACAAAAGTTAGAGGCTCGAAGGCGATCAGATACCGCCCTAGTTCTAGCTGTAAATATGCCAGCCAGCGATCCGCCGAAGTTGACTTGGCGGGACGCTTCCGGGAAACCAAAGGTTTTGGGTTCCGGGGGAAGTATGGTTGCGAAGCTGAAACTTAAAGGAATCGATGGAGGGGCAACACCAGGAGTGGAGCCTGCAGCAAATTTGATTCGAAAGGGCAAAACCCCGCCTTTCCCGGACTCCGAAGGGATGGACAGATTAGAGCTCATTCTTGATTCGGTGGGTGGTGGTGCATGGCCGTTTTTAGTTAATCGAGCGATTAATTTCTATAACAAACGAGACTCTAGCCTGCTAATTTTTACCGTCTGCGGACCAACATTTCTTAGAGCGACAAAGCGGCCTTTGGCTGCACGAGATTGAGCAATAACAGATCTGGGATGCCTTTGGATGTTCTGGGCCGCACGCGCGCTACACTGAAGGAATCAGCGCGCAGTCTCTGGGTGAGAGGCCCGGGTAACCCGCGGAAAATCCTTCGTGCTAGGGATTGGGGTTCCTAATTGTTCCCCAAAAAAGAGGAATTCCCAGTAAGCGCGAGTCATAAGCTCGCGTTGATTACGTCCCTGCCCTTTGTACACACCGCCCGTCGTTACCACCGATTGAATGATTTAACGAGGTCTTCGAACCGAACCGCCGATACGTTCCGACGTCGTCGATGTGTTCGGAAAGTTGACCGTACTTAATCATTTAGAAGAAGTAAATGTCACGAGGTTCCCTCCCGTAGGTGAACTTAAATTAGGATCGTTGTAGTGTTAAAAAAATAACTAAAATAAATAACTTGTACTTTGTACTCGCTGAGTCGATAATTTTTCGCACCAGACGCGGACGTTTATACGTACGAAGTCGGTGGAAGCGAAGAAATTTCGGGTACCTGGACGAGCTAAAAGTGCGAGACCTAGTTTTGCGCTTTCCGTCGACAAGGTGTGAAGGATTTTCGTCCGAGAACGTATATACATATACGTTAAAAGTTAGGCGCGGGTCGTCTTCAAATAAAAGTTCTTTCGGACAGACCGGCCCTAAAAATTAAAAGTTTGACTTCGAAGACAACTCTGCTCTTCCTTAGAAATGCAAGTTGAAAATAAAAGGCGCAGGTCGTCCGAACACCAAACTTCGTTTCGATAGACCGGCCCTGGTCAGAAAAATTTTACGTCGAAAGCGAATGGGTGCTCTTCAGTAAAAAAGTCCTATATAATACGAGAAAAACCGCACTCCCGAACTAAGCCAAAAAGGCTTAAAATAATGTGCGCCGGTGGTCGCACCATTCCTAGTGGATTCTTATCAGTGTGACGAGACCCCTGTAACAGGGAAAAATGACACAAAGGTACATGGCGAACGTAAAAGAAAAACTTTTGCGTTCGCCCTTTTTTTTAAACAGTTTTTTTTTGAGACCTTACTTGCTTTTAGCGACGGTCGTTAGTACCCTCAATATACTTAAGGTGACTCATCCCATTGGTGGTCCCTTTGTTCCGATAATAATCCTGCCCTTAGTACTAGAGGATCCGCATTTCGAAAACAGAAAAATTTATAGCGAACGTAAAACAAAAACTTTTGCGGTCGCCCTTTTTTTTTTCAGTTTTCTTGAGACCTTACTTGATACAATGTACTTAAAGTGACTTATCCTATTGGTGTCCCGTTGTTGCGATAATAATCCTGCCCATAGCACTAGATGAGCACTTCGAAGGCAGAAAGATAGATAGCGAACGTAAAAAATATTTTATTTAAAAAAGTATAAAAATAGTTTTAAAAAAAAAAATCTACACGTTATTAAATAACTCTAGTCGTCGGCTAGACTAGGCTAAGCTCGACTAACGTAGCGCGCGCGCGAAACGAATCACGGCGCATAAACGACGCGACCCCATTGTTAGTAATAAAAATATTTGTAGAAATGTGTAGGACATTACACTGTACAACTGAAACTATTAAGTATTAATAAATTTCGATTATGTTAACGTAATTTTAGGAATGCCGAAGGTGCCTTACTTCCTTCAACTCAGTATGTACCTCTAGGCAGATTTGTAGGCAATCGAATGTACCTGTTGAACTGAAAGACGACTAGAGTTCTTGGAGCAAGCGAGCGACTTAGATATTAGTTTGGTTATACATTTTGGTAAAAATACTTGGCATGAGCCATTTTTGTCTCAAAGTAGACCCTTCGATAAAATTTTAACCTATATTTTTTTGGAAACAATAATTGATCGGATTCATTCATGTGTCCTGTATGGATTTAACAACCGATGTACGTCCCGTATTTTTAAATTAAGCAGCGTTTGTTTAAGCTAAACCTGAGGGATTTTTATTTTACAATTTGAACTTTTAAAATAGGTATCTTTAAGTAATGGACGCTGGTCTGGTCTAAAATGTGTCTTGTCTACTTTTTATGCTGATAACTACTTAGGTAACTTTTACTTTTTGATTCTTGAGTATGCTAGGTGGCGGGTCAATTTTTTGCATAATCCAAAGTATTTTGACAACCATATCCTCAAAATAGTCGCAGCTGAAGTATTGGATAAAGATATTGATAAATCATATTGCTTATTGAATAAATTTAAAAATCATCGATAATTTTAGCCGTGAGAGCGATTGGGCACACGTTTTTATTAACCTTTCATGATTTGTGATATTCGCTGTATGCAATTTTCCTAGTAAAAGGTACCTAAATACAATTTTACCATGACCGCAATGATTTATTTAAAATGATTGACAACTTTTAAACAAACACATTTATGATAGGTTCGGCAACTGAATCTTTATATCTAAGACACTGTAAATATTATCAGATGTATTTTAAAAACATTTTAATTTAAACAAATCGTAATTATTCTCTATCGAGGAAAACTCTTTCTCCACGGAAACGCTTTGCCGGCCTCCCCCCCGCTCTCCCGCGAACGAGCCACGAACGCACCGATACGATTTGGATTTTTCGCGTTAGTGCCTTTTTTTTAAATTCCACTCCCGCTAGAGGGTTAATGCCGTGGTATCTTCGAAAGAAAATGAAAAAACCAAAATAGAAAGCGATATGGCGATTAGCACACATTCATGTAGCCGATATAGAAAAACTGCGACTCTTGAAGTACGTCGAGAAAAGGAGCGAACTGGAAATGGCGTTTAGAAGTTAAATGTACGAGCAATTTCAACAATCTTTCTATATAAAAATACGGGTAAACCGTGTTTAACATTTCAAAATTTTTTAAAATTGGCACTATTTATCGTAATAGATTGTAGTAGACAAAACGAAAGTTTAAAATCAATTTCCGTCTATATTTTCGTTGGAATTTGAAACTTCACAGAACATTCCAGAAAATACGACGGCTTATTGCCTTATCATACACGATCGTTTAATAACATACAACCCATTTTCTAGTAGAATTAGAGGTTTTTAATAACGTGTGGATCATTTTTTAAAAACTATTTTTATACTCTTTTAAATAAAATATTTTAATGTCCCATTATGCGCCTTTTTAATTCATATTAAAAATACATTGTCATATCGAATATAAGATTTGGAAATTTTATTCTTGGTGAGATTGAACGAATTCAAAACAAAAATATGTTTCAAGCAAAATTAATCACTGATTGGGCTTTCGCTATAAATTGTATAAATTTAGTGGTTCATATTGTAACCGAAGCGAACCCAACAACCAGCAACAAAGTCCCGAAATGGGATACAGTCTTTTATATACAGAATCACGCTTTTCCAATCGCACAAGGAACATGCGAAACAAATTATGACCGGTAGCGGTTTCTATATTTCTATTTGCCGCTGCGACTTGTATTATAATTTGATAGAGGGCGCCCCCACGATTAAACGATTATCGTATCGCGCTAGAGACGGTAACGCCGGACACGGAAATGGTTGTGGGCCGGCATCTCACCCAATAGTTTTTATTTTTCTAGATCTTATGTAATGCGAGATATTTTTCATATTGAGAGAACCTGTGGCCTGTTATATCGCCGTATTGTGTCAATACACTTTACGGGACGTTTGCCTGGTCTTTCGTTAAGGTATGTCCGATATTTTTTGTGCGGCAAATGCCACTTATCGTTTTTTTTAACTTATTGTTTTTTGTTAAGGAATTATCTTCACCCGTTTCCTTCTAAATCAAATAAAGTTTCCCAACGATGATTGCGAGTTTTTGTGCCGGCCAAAGTTCTGGGTGATCTTCTTCTTGTCTTCTTATTTGGGGTTGGCGCTGCTGCTAGGTAATTTGCCAGCACTATTTCGAACTGCTCCAGATAATCGAGACTGTTCTCCTAGGGAAGCTTACTTTTCAGACTTCCGTTTCCATTTAAGAGGCATAAAAAGCTGCTGATGAGATAGGGTCCATTAGTGGGCAGGCTCAGAACACACAAACACTAAAGATAAACAGGCAAGACGGCCACATCTAAAAAACAAAAAAAAGACAAACTCCAGCACTATGGAGCTTGGGACGGGCGTTCCTGGCCTAGGATGAATCATGGGACCAGGCGCGTCAGATCTGAGAAAAAACAACAGATTCAAATACATATAATTTAAAATTCCCTAGTATTGTTACTAGGGAGAGGCTGTCCGACCTCGACTCCTAACTTAAAGTTTTATCCTATTATAATCTAAAAAGCATATGCATATAAGTCTGCGTAATCTGTGTAACTTTTAATTGTATACAACATGGACACTTTAAGGTTTAGTCGTCAATACGGTGATACCGAGTTTGGCCGTTCGGGCTTTCAAAATGATACAGTTTTCCAATCCCCAAATTGTCCTTGACTGTATCAAAGAAAATGAAAAAATTCCAATCAACAGCATGCTGAGAGTTGCCCTCCAAATCTAATTCTAAAAGTTTTAAAGTTGGCATTTGTGAAACATCTTATGATATCTTAAATAATAGCAGTTTTTGGCCTAGTAATATCATCTTCAGGCCATTTACGTTCTGGAATTCTCGAAAAGCCATACCACCAAACTCTGAAACAAATAATGAACAAAATTTTCAAGCTCCGCAAGTAAGACCAACAAATGCCTGACATTTTATTACCTGAATGTCAGGGGTATAAAAACAAAAGTGCAGCCCCTGATATGCACTGTCCTTGTTGAGGATTATAATGTTTTGTTGTTGACAGAAACGTTCCTGGATAGCAGTGTGTTGACAAGTGAACTTGGCCTGGATGGTTATTTTGTATTTAGGTGCGATAAGTCAGCAGCAACTAGTAACTGTTTGACTCAGGGAGGAGTGCTTATTGTGGTGAAGAGCTCTATATCCTGTCAACTTCTTAGCCCTCCTATTAATACTGTAGAGCCAATATTTATTCAGGTAACCATGGGTGTTAATAAGATTCTGGTCAGCAATACTTATATCCCAGGTGTCTCCTCGCCCGAGGTGTGTGAAAATTTTTGTCTCTCTGTAATGTATTTGATGAATGAAAATGACTTCACAGATGTTTTTCTCTAATTTACCTAAACTATCATGGTCCAACAGTGAAACTGGTGCTACGCCTTGCGGGAATCTCTCAAGTGAGGCAATTGTTGTTTCCGATTGTGTGGCCCATTTGGGGTTATTTGAAAACATACAAATCGCAAATAAGTATGGCAATTTTCTTGATTTGTTGTTCTCTAGGCAGCCTGTTATCTCTGTTACGATCTGTGATAGGCCGCTATTAAGGCTGAATGCACCTCACCCAGCTTTCGTTTGCAACTTCAACTTGGCCATTACCTGACCTAGGAATATCGCATTTGATTATTTTTATTATGTGTGCTATTTACAAAGAAATTAATCTGTTTTTGTCAAAAGTCAACTGGGATTATATTTTTAAGTGTAGGGATGTGGATTTGATAGTCTCGTAGTTCTATGATGTTCTCTTTGGTGCTATTGAGTTATTTACACCTATTGCTCTTTATAGAACTCCAAACGGTAAACACCGGGTTGGTATGTACAAATCGACAAATGGAGTACTGTGGGGATTACGAACTCTCCAATCGAACATGGGCGAGCGGATTAGTGGTCGGGTGGACCGACGAAATTGGGCCTAATCAGGAGAACTAGAGAGCGGACTTCTTTTTTTTGCGTTTCATTCGCTTTTGTCACATGCGAATGTAAATCATTATTTCAAATAAAGAAATATGTGAATGTACAAATTTCTCTCTATCTCGTTGAGATGAGCCATTAGGGGGTTTTGTATTTGGAAAAGGTGGAGGGTAGCCCACGCCCCAGCAGTTTGACCACAGCAGGTCCATTGTGGTAGGGTCGTAGGGAATGGATATGAGTAGCCGAGCATTGCTTCTCGTCTAAACGAGAGGTTAAGACGTCCCATGTGTTGTACCGTCTTGTTTACATCAATCTGAATTGAGTAAGCAATGACCCATAACGGGGATGGAAAGTCAAGTGATTCGGTTAAATTTGCCAGACATGGAGATCGCGTCGAGACGTTCACTTTTTGTCTAACTTTTACTTAACTCCTATGAGAAGGGAAGGAAATGGGTGGAAAATCGGAAAATAAAAAGTGGTCCTAGGAGGTTGAAATTTCACTCTGACTTCTGAAAGGAATCCAAGCAAATAGCCAATCAATTTCATACAAATGGACATCTGTGGTTCGGCAAGCCAGCTACCAATATCCAAGAATGGTAGGCTCGATTCTTAAAAGTAACTAGGTTCTCTTCCATGGGAGATTAAGCCAGAACACCACAAAATCTGGCCATTGTTCGCCTCCAAATCACTTGGCACAACAGAGTCAACCTGTCTGTGAACGAAATGTTGAAAATAGATATTGTGAAACTTGTAATAGAACTGAATTAAATGATTCTATAATGTAAAGTTTGTACAATTGTAGGTTTCTGTTCTGTGGTTGCACAGTTTTTACACCGAGATGCGTTGTGGAAAAATGAGTGAGTTTTGGCTAGTTTGTGCTATTCGATGCTCGATATCATATTCCATAAATTGCATAAACTATGGTAAATTTGTTTCGTGCAAAATGAAACATGCTTCGGTTTAAGGCGAGAACTATAAATATCTTAAAAATTTAGTCACTCGCCTCGCTCACTCGAATTTAACATACTTTCAGTTTCGATATGTGTATTATTTATTAGGCACAATTTTATTTTTTTAATTAGGCCTTAAAAAATATTATTATTCGTATTTTAATTTATTAGAATAAAAAACCGACAATTTTGAAGAAAACCTGGGACGGTTCCAAAGTCAACTTTGAAGTCCATGGTTTGCCCAAGCTGGGAGGCTCAAATTTCCTAACCTGTTTTTGATTTGTCCAAGTTTGGAATTTTGGTTAATTGTAAACTTTATTCAACTTTCATAAATTTGATAAAAAGAATTTAATGACATTGAAAAAAAAACACAGACGTTAGCGGAAAGTATTTATTAGAAAATGTTATACAATATATTGTGGTCTACTGCTGAAAGTGACTTGCAAATTGTTTTCAGTAAAGTTCGATTACCTACATTGAAGTTTTGCTTTTATTTTATTTGCAATTAGGCGATAAATAGCAATATAGATATATCTTGCTGAAGCGCTATACCCTCCTGTTTAAAATGTGATCTTTGTAACATTTTTTGTCAGAATAGTCCTTGTACCTTCTCTGTTTTTCACTTCTAAACGTGGGGGCGGGATCAGATCACCTGGACTTTCCCCGCTCGATACTTTCACAGACGAACATCCGTCACAACCTTCTGTCGACTCGGATAGCGTCTCACTCCAGGAAACTAATAGTAGTTGTAAATCCTCGAACCTGTCCTTGTAAACCCGAAATCTCCCATTAAATTATGGCATTTAATGGCAATGCTTTCGATATCACACATAGTGCAGGATTTACATTAGCTCTTCTCGAACCTCGAATTTTTACTCCGCTTTGGTTCGTTTTTTAATTCACCTTTTGCAGGATCGTTATTAGTTTTGTTTTTTCATCTTTAGGACCCCAGCGTTCTCATGCAATTCCGCTCTCTATTTAATGGTTGTTTCTTTTCCCGGTGCCTAAAATTTAGTCTCGCCTTCCGTTTGTGGATTAAATTTTTCACGGTCACAACGGTCGTACATCCACGCTCGAGCCGTCGTCCCGATAAACGTCCGACGATATCACATTGACGAGTGCACGGACCAAGACGATCGATGCTCGAAGGTCCATTCGAAAACATACTAGAAGTATAGTGTCACCGACCAAACATCAACTGAAATGTGATAGAAATTACGCGAAGCAAAGCTTTATTAAAATTCGAGTAAAATGGCCCAAAGGAAATGTCAACTTTATGTGTTTTTATAATAATAAAGCTTACCGAAATGTTCGCAAACAAAACTGTTTGCGGCAACGAACGAGTTCCACACTCGCCGTAAACCGTTTTCCGCTTCCCCGGATAGATGTCGCGCAGGACGCGGCAACGCCGACTATCGAATTATTTTCGACACGAAAGTTTTTGCGCACTTTAAATTCATAGCGGAGAGATTCGCCATTACCTCTCGCATATTTACCGCGGCATCCTAAATCCTTACGGTCAATCGGCGGGACGAACGCGTCGCTAGCTAACCAAAATTTGTCGCGCCGCGGGTTTGCGCGTGGATTTTCGTCGGGCACTTTCCTATCGCCGCGAGGGCGCCTATTTCTCGCCCTCCCATACCCGCCCGGATTTTCGCGTTCGTTAATAAAAGGTGACGTAAATGTCGCGCCCGATCCGAAAGCGGTCCGGCAACGTCGCGCGAGCAGTTGATGTCTACCGGAAATTCGGAGGTGCGGGAATTTTCGCCCGTTCTTCGAGCGAAGAGCGTTTTCGTAGGCAACGGGCGCCGAAGTAGTTGTCGCATCGCGTCGAAATTACGCAGATCGGGAACGCGGAAAAGGTAAAAGAACGTTAAGTAGTGCCCGACCGGGGTGGTATTTCGTCGCCATCCGTTACGCTTCGGACGCGGGAGCCGTTTTAGGTTAGGTGAAGCATTTCGACCAAGTCGTAACGAGCTTCGCGCGTAACGGGCGGTAAAAAAGCCTCCAGCGCGTCAACGCCGCGTAAACATTCAAAGGAAAACGAAAAAAACAACAATAATAATAAAAAGGAGAACTGGCAAATGCGCGCGCGCGCGCAACTCTCGGACAACCCTGTGGTGCCGTGCGTGTCGCAAACTGCGGAAAACCAAAGCCGTGTTTGTCTCGCACCCGGTAAGACGTTTCTTCCACGAAAAGTGCCCAGCGGACTGAGTTTCGTCGACACAGCGAACCCAATCAGGTAAAGTAACGGCCGGTTTGGCGTGCCGGTCGCCTCCGTGCGCCCGTTTTAGGTTAGAAGCTGTTGCACGTATTATATTTGGAACGAGCGCGGCGCGCGTTTGCGGAAACTTTTTCTCGCTGTCGCGCGCGCCCCCCTTGAACATCGTGGTGTTCCGGGGGGCGCGCGCGACCCTCGATAGGTTGCGAATCGCTGCGAAAACGGGCGGTTTGCGGTAAAAATCGGTAAAATCGTGCTTCGTCGGCGGGCAGCGCCATAACGAGGTGTGCGAGCGGCGTTGCCGGGTCGCGCCGCCCGGGTCGCGTTGCTTCCGGTCGCGCGAACGAAACGTGGCGTTTTTTGCGAACGGGACGCCGCCGCAGTGCGCCGCATGGGGCCGCGCGCCATAACGAACGTCCCGGAACACGTTCGAAAACTTCGGGACGTAAGAATCGCGCGGAGCGCTCCGCGATGCCGGCCGACGTGGCAGCCGCGACGGGAATCATTTATTTTGACAGGCGGCCCGGTTGCCGGATCGCGAGGCGCGTTCGCTTAATCGTATCGCGTTTCGGTTTTATCGCCGGGCGACGACCGGCGAGATAAAACGGCGTGTCGGTTTCGTTTCCAAGAACATCTCGGCGGGGACGTTCGCGGCCTTTCGAGTCAAACAACGCGTCGCCGGAAAGCGCGTGGGTCGACGCGGCAACGCCGCGCGTACCGAAACCCTCAACGATTTTTTTACGTCGCGGTTGTTTAGCGCGTTTTTCTTGTGTCGATGGATAAATAAAGGGTGTGAGTGACGCGTGGTTTGTCACAGAAGGCGGCGATGAGCGGCCCGCCGGCCATGAACCGCGACCGCATCTTGGAGGCGATCGACCAGCTGCGTCATCGGAAAGCCCGACCGGACATTCAGCGTATATGCGGGTACCTGTTCCGGCGGTACCACACCAATTCGAACGAGGCCAAGGCCGATCTGGATTGGTGCGTCGCCAACAACGTCGTTCTCCGCGTCGAGTACAAGGGCAGCATCAGTTATCGTAACGCTGCGAAAAAGTACGCGCAAATGAAGCAGCGGTCGTCGGCGGCGGCGCCGCCCGCGCACCCGGCGCCGCCCCCGCCGACGCAGAACACCGTCAGCAAAAATTTTATGGAACTGCTGACTAACGTGTTTGGTGAGCTCGTCGTCGACGAGCCCGACTACCTGGAGCTCGGCGTGCCGCCCAAGGAGATCGTCGACAACATCCTTTCCAAGGACAGCGTCAGGTAAACAAACCTAGCGCTACTATTTTACCCCGGACTCGCCGACTGCGGTTCCCGAGCGGACTAAATTTTGACGTTTGACGATTTCGAACGGTCGCGGCGCAAACTACAAACTTTTTTCCCCTCGAACGCCAACCTTTTTTATTTTTTACGTTGCCGCCGCCGCCGTAACGAAGCGCCTCTCACGATGGGCCGGCTATTTCGTAACATCGAAGATTGGCGAGCAATTGGTTGAGTATAATTTCCGTGGTGTTCTTATCATTTACCGACGCAGTGTAAAGAAGTAGAAATATGGCGAGAATCAGCTGATCGCGTTTGCAAACTTTATGTTCCGTTATAATTGGTAAATATAAAACGATGCTCAACTGCTGCGAAAGCTCGGCGATAATTTTATTAAATTTGCATATTTTCGGCAAAAAATTCGCTCCAATTTTATTTATGAAAAAAATTGTACGCTCCGTGTCGGAAAAAACGGACAACTAAAAAGTCTCCAAGAGTAGACGAAAGCTCATGGCTAGGAACTTTGAGAAAAACATTTAAGGTTTCTAATTCTGAGTCAAATCCATGTTGAAGAGTAGGAAATGATATTACGAATCTCCGACCTGTTTTTTTTTTACACTCCTTTAGGATTTTCAATCGGGTGCCCCTTCCATTTCGAAGACCGAAAAAACACGACTTTTCAAATTTGTCAAAAAATAATTGTTACCGGATAATAAAACAAAACAATGATTTTCAGCATTTTTATTGTTTCTTTAATCGTGTTTCAAAGAGCTTCTGTGCAGTTTTTTTCTCACGTATTCTTTTACAAGGGGCGGCAACCAAGATATGTACTTACCGAAATTACAAGCTATTCGGATTAAAAATTGGAATGACAATCGAAAAATAACCGTGTTTCGTAATATCGTACTGCGTTCCGATTGTGCATCAATTTAGACGACCAAAAGAACGCGTTCGTTGTGTTTCTCAGGTACACGAGGAACTACGTCGCCATCTTGCTCCTGAAAGAGGTGGACCGCGGCAACTTGATCAAACTGCCGAACGGCAATTACCTGCTCGGTCCGCACGGTGATGAAAAGAAATGCGAGCGCAAACAGAAATCGCCGGCGGCCGCCCCCGCGATCGAGGATGCCAAACCGGCGAAAAAACAACGGACGGTTTCCAAGGCGACGTCGGACGCGGGCAGCGACCGAACCGACAACGCTGGCGCCGACTTGTCCGAAGCGGACGAAAGAAAATCATCGGACGGCGGAAACGTCCGATCGGGAGGTCGCAGAAAGGTCAGTCGCGACATTGCCGTCGCCGTTATCCGCTTTTTTTGATTTGGATGCGCGGCGGCCACCCGCCCAACGGCGAAAACAACGCGGCAACGCCGCTCGCCCCGTCAAATGTGTTTTGTGGGGTCGAGATTTTCGTTGTATATCTATCGGATCATGCCGTTGAAAGTGGTAGGTTTCGCTTTTAAGATCGCTTTTGGATAAAATCTCGCAACGCGAGGCAATCAGTTTACGTAGATAAGCTGGATAAGCTTATATGGTGGGAGTTGTTTTTAGGTTATGAATTGAAAACAATGTCTAGCGTTAGATGGGAAAGCAAGTTTCGCTGGAAACATACGACTACGTTGTTTTTCGACGTTATTAATACAAACAGTGCCTGAGGTGTTTTAGTTAAAGGATATTATTTCGCGATTTGCGTGTGATTCAAGGATGTCCTACATTTGAATTTTTTTATAGACAGCGAGGTACCCAAAATGTACCGATCTCTGGCGCGATATTTTTTAAGCAAAATTGTCAAGTCTCGGCTGATAGTAATTCAGTCGGTGGTTTTAGAAAGCGAAGAAGGTGTTCGACCCGTCGGATACCCACGTGCCGAAGAAACGGGGCCGGCCGGCCGGTTCCCTGAACAAGTCGACCATCGAGAGGCAAATGGCGAGGAATCACAGCGACGATTCCCGTCCAGATTCCCGAACGTCGACCGGTAGCAAGGATCAGCACGGCGTGTGCTCGGTGTGCCACGTGCAGAGCAAACGAGGTCCCAACGATCGCATGGTCGCGTGCCGAGAGTGTAGCAACAAAGGCAGGTCGTTTTTCACTCTCTGGGGGTTTTTTAAGCCTTTTTAACACTCGGTCGTGGTATTTGCAAGAAAATTTTTGATTGACTCTTCTCATATTAAGCATGCAATTTAAATGAAAGTGCAGTATTTTATCGTTAATTTTAATAATTGATTTGTTTTTGCTTGAAAAATAAAATTATTACAACAAAATTTTACATTTGAAAGTTTTTATAATCACACCCACAAAATAACATTTTTATCATTTAACAAGTAGGCACGATTGGAAACAAATCTTTTTAAATGATGTTTAATTTATACAATTAGTCTCAAGTTAGTGGAATAATGGTTTGGAAAGAGGGAAATATAACTGTGCTGGTATGACCATTCTAATCCATAGATCTGAACCCTATTGAACATCATTGGGGTGTTTTAGATCGGCGTATTTGCAGAATAAGTTAGTTTTTTCGGCTTTTATTTGATATTTTTTGAAAATTTGGAAATTTTAATTTGAACGAAAACAATTCGTTGTAAGAATATTACTATTATTAGAAGCAATTGTAAATAATTGTTTTTTTTTACCAACTATATATACATCTCGCAACGTCCGTAAACAAGCTAGAGTTTTTCGGTTGTTGTGTGTTTTTCTTGAATTTTGGAAATTTTCAGCCCACTTCAGTTGCTTGAACGGCGACGACATGATGCTCAAAATGTATCCAGATAACACATGGCAGTGTCCCCATTGTAAGACCTGCGTGGTGTGCTTCGAGACGTCCGACGCCGTAAGTAATATTCATTGTAAAATGATTACAAGGTGTTAAAACAAAATTGCTGTACCCTCAAAAATGTGGTCAAAATTGTCGCATGCAAACTTAACACTGTCAAATAAAAAATTCCATTTTCCATGAACCGTCGACGGCGGCCATGTTGATTGTTAAACGCGTCAAAGTTTTGTTTCTCACGATCTTTTCTGTGCGCTGGCAGAAATCGAAATCCATCGAACTTCACCTAATTTAATTTTAAATGGTAGAGGAGGAAAAATCGAGTTTTTATTTATTCTTGTTTTCGAGTTTATTTAGTTTTGTGTGTGTATTCATTTTCATTTAACTTTTTTGTATAGCTGCGTCGCGTAGCTTGTACCTTGTATCTGAATTGGATAGATTCCTCTCGTAGTCTTATACTTCCTTTCGGTTATGGTGCACACGTCTAATGTTCAGTACCTGGTCAGTTTTTTTTAACTTCCCAACTAATGTGGTACTATTTACAAATCTTCTAGCTGACGTTTCGTGCTGCCTCCAGCTATAAATAATCTCAAAACAATTTGGTTGCAGGGCACGTTGACGGTGTGTTCCGTGTGCGCGGACGCTTACCACGCGGGCTGCCACCAGCCTCGCATCGGCGACAAGGCCGGCAAAGGCCACAAGTGGCTCTGCGTCAACTGTCAGCGTCCGGACGAGTTGAAAATCAACGCGATCCAGTCGAGCATCGGCGACGCGGCCTTCGACGCCGTCAAACTCGCGTCCCGCTCGAATTCGCCGCCGTCGTCGTCGGACGAACGGAGCCCCGCCCCCAGTCCGACCCCGCCTCCCCGTCTCAGTCCGCAGACGAATTTGCCCGACTACAGTCCCGTCCGATCGGACGACAGCAACAATTCCGATTGGGACGTGGACGTGGACCCGTCGATACCGGACGCGACGCACTGGACGCCCGCCGAGGTGTCCCGTTACTTCGCCAAGTATTTCCCGGACGAGGCGAGGATTTTCCAGGAGCAAGAGATCGACGGCCGGTCGCTGCTCCTGCTGAAACGGATGGACGTGCTGACGAACCTGAACCTGCAACTGGGGCCCGCGTTGAAGATCTACCGGCGGGTGACGATGCTGCAGGTGCGCCGGGACGACCCCAGCCTCTACCTGCTCTGACTCGACCGGGACGTTTGCTTTATGTAAATAGCGGTGAAATTTTCCAGATATAAATATATATACACTTACGTTTGTTTTTGAAGTGTTTTATTTAGGAGACGGACTACTCCTTAACGTACGCGATCGCCGTCGGTTTTGAGTTATCGAGTTGAAATTCGATCGGAAACTAGAGTTATGTGTTTTATATTATACAAACGCGGAGCGTTGTCCTCACTACTCCGCTCATATTTAGGGATGTTCCGATACCATTAAAGTATCGATACCTACTCATTTCGATAGTACTCAAATCTTCAATACTACTCAAATAAATACTCCTAAAGTATCGATACTTTTAGCACTTTATTATTTTTTTTATTTATTTTAAGGAAACTAACAATGAACGTTGCAGGACAATGATTAAAACAAAATTAAGAAGGAAAAGAAAACTTTTATTATAAACGTTGCGTCACGTTAAGCTCTTACTTTAAACAAAAAACTCCATGATAATATTGGAATAATAAGCCGATGATTACAATAAATAAAATTATTCGCAAGCAATCTCTTGTATGTTTGACAATTTATGTTGGTTGACAATGAAAAGAAATGAAGGGCGGACGTCTTTCTCGCGTTTGGCTCGGGCTCGGCGAGTGAAGTCGGACGAGTTCGGCTTGGCTGACGCGAGACAACGCGTCACCACAGATCAGATAGATCTTATGTTTGTCTAATGCGGTCGGTTTTTTTTTAATGGTGATGTTGATTCGATTTGATACCAAGTACTTTTGTTTCGATACCGAGTAAGTATCGCAAGATTGATTCGATGCTATAAATACTTGGCATCGAATATCTACTCGTATTTACTAGTATCGGAATATCCCTACTCGTATTCCGTTCTCCGAGAGCATTAAGCCGGCTAGACACGATATGCCAGGCCGGTCAGTTAAGACTCTTCAACCCATCTTTATGCCATAGCGTACGATGACGATTGAGACTGATATTTCATATTCGCCTGAACGTGTGAAGGTTAGCCATTTCATCCGGCGTACTGTTCGAACTGAGAAGCCTGCCGGATTATAATGGGATCTCCCCATGTGAAAAGGATGGTCCGTATGGCGCAGAGTGATATTAACATGATGCAAAAAGATTTAAGAATATCATGCATATTTGTTGCAAATAATCCTCCGGTTTTTCCTATTGAATAAAGAACCGAACAACTTCGGCTGCAGCTGGTAATCGGCGACTGATTATAGTAGCCTGGCCTGACTGTTGTGGTACGTTTTAAGAAGAAGATTTACTGTGGTTATTCAAGTTGAACTTGTTTTTTCTTCGATGTATATATTTTAGGCACAAATTTTAGGGCTACTTTGAATACTAATTTGCTTAAAGGGTTCTATGAGGATTGCAGAACCTTTCGCTATATTCGAATGTTCTGAGTTAAGAATATGGTTATCGGTTTCTGTTTGTCTTGAACAGAAACTTTGGTCTGTTTTTCGTTTGACGTTTATCAACAATAACTAAAGAATTAAGCATAAAAAAGGGAAGCCATGCCAGTGGTACCGGGAACGTTTATATTTGTGAAAACTGCGTGTTGATTGTTGGTTGCTAGTGTTGGTTAGTTGGTGTCTTTGGACCTTCCATCATGCAACAGAAATAACTCTGCCCCTGTTTAAACATTATTATCAACACCCTTATAAAATTGTAATTTTTTACTACAAGTGTGGTATCATTAAAATATTCCTGCAATATTGAAGGGTAAATTTACAAAGCTTTAGTGAGTAATAGTGATTTATTATAAATGGAAAAGAGTTTGCAACATTGAAGAACATATAAAAGCAAATAATTTATATGATCGTGAGGATCAAGACGTCTATTTACATTTTGATCGATGTAGATTGTGTTTTATGTAGCATTAATATTTTCTTAGTACTTAATGAGTATGTTTTTATTGCTATAACCACATATTTTTCCGGCAGTTACGTTTGTATTGTCAATCCTTTATTTACCACACACATCCCTTTATTCCCTTAGTTCATAGTTAATTTTGCATCTTGCCACTTTTATTCTTGCAATATATTTATTAGCTAATAAAATATTTGGAAAATTCCAAACAGAAATTAGGTTTAAATTGAATCGAATTTCAATAATCGAGTATTTAAATATATCTTCCATTGAGACATAGTTTTCCAAATGACGGTACTGCGCCGCTGTTTTTAAGTTTTCACGCTTTGCCGTCGTAGTTAATTTAATAAATCCGCAAATTATCGAGTCATTCAGGTCGAAAAGTGGCCGATGGACGAAATACAAATAGCGCCACCTCGCGGTCGGCGTCCGAACAAAATCCCGTCTGTTTATCCGGTTGCCTAAAAACGCGTTTACATGTGCGAACGTCTGAGATTCCGGTGTGTACGGCGTGCGAATATAAATAAATAAGGTCGGATCCTTAAGGAGAGGAGCGTCCGTCAGACGGGATGGTTATTGTGCGTTCTAAAAATAATCGCATCGAAGCGAAAACATCAGAGAGAGGCATAGTCGAGAATACGCGCGGATATCGCTTACATAAAAAGTATTTATAAGTTTTCTTCTTGCGCCTTTACCCAAACCAGATTAGGCGGAATTAAAACCCGTGCTCCGTATTGAAAATTTAAATCCGCAAAGTGCCGTCGTGACGTCGTCCGAGCGGTTTGAGTGGTGTCGCTTCCGAGTCGACTAATATGGTCAGCGAGTTGAGGAGGACGCTTCTAATATGATGTTCACCGGGGGGTCCGTTTCCAAACAAAAGAAAAGCAGGGAATGGCACCGCTCGGCGGAACGCAGGATCACGGGGAAGGCCCCCAAGTACGTGGAGATCGCGGGGTACAGCGGCGCCAACGCGAGGAAGGTAAGCGGGCAGTGGCGGCTCCCGGGAAAAATGTTTGGGTGTTCCGCAAATCTCGCAAAAAAGCTTACCGAAAACAAAAACGGAAAAATGTTTATTTGCTCAATTATTAGATTAAACATATTCTATTTTTTACGCATTTTCATTGTGTTTCTATATATTTAACCATTAAGCAGATTCTAGTTCTGCCCTACTATCGGTCGACCCTAATAACGCATATTCCGTACAATTATGAATGTGGTGACCGCTATTTCCGTCCAACCTTTTTAGCACCAGCAAAAAGTAAGAAGGGAATACATTATAGAAAATTTTTTTTTGTTATATCCACATATCCATTCATTTTTCGGGTAAACGTCTTTATTAAAATACTGGTATACACAGTTTTTATTTATCCTCTTTTAATTGGTTTTGTTTGAAAGCATTAAAATCCTGATAAAACGTTGTATTATAGGTCAATACGAGAAGATTTAAGGAAATGTGGAGAAATTTGGGTAATTAAACGGGTGATCTGGGCAGTGTCCTTTTTAAACATCCTGAATATATATATGAAATATAAGAAAATATTTTTGTTTCTGTTATTGATATCTAAATGATTTAGAAAGCATAAAACAAGACCAAAAATAAACAATATATGGAAAAAACGAAATCGAAACCATCAAATTTCATTTTTTCCGAGTATTTTTGCAACTTTTTATGCCTCATGCATTAACGGCATAAATTACCTTTATAAAAATACAGAAAATAAATAAAATTAGTTGAGGTATCGGTTTTTTTAACTTATTTTCCGTTGCCTCGAGACATTTTATTTTTTCTTTGTATAATTCAATTTGTTTTCTATTATTTTATTGACACTTCTAAGAAAATAAAGTATTCAGCTAATCAGTAATGCAGATTTTCCCATTTTTCCGTTTGTATTTAATGTATAGTTCGTAGAAAAAAAAACGAGGTCAAAAATTTTACTGTTTAATTTTTTCCCGAATAAGTTTCAACGCGTACCGTCAGTTTTAAAGGAACACGGCTGGATATTAGTCTTATTATGTTACCGTCATTCTTACTTTTCGACAAAAGTGATTCAAAAAAATGTGTAAGACATCAAAAATAATCGTTGTATTCATTTGGAAACACAAAATAAAACAAACATGTCTGAAAAAGCGTCTTTATTTATATGAATTGGTTTGAGTGTTTGTCTTTCCGAAAGATGGAATTGGGAATTGCCGCAGCCTGTGGAAGTTATAAAGGCCGGTTACCAAAGTATTCTTATTTTTGTAAACAAGAAAATGTAAGTAATGTAAATAAAATTGCCTTGAGCGCGTTTGATTAAATTTAGTAAGCAATATGCGGGTAAACTAATCAAAACTAACCAAAACTACTTATAGACGTGTTTTCTGTGCCGGCCAATTATGAAATGGTATTGGCCACGCAAATATTTTGCAGGTAAAATAAAAAAAATGTATATCTATGTAACTTTAGTAATGAAAGCACAAGGAAAATACTAATTTTTTAAACCAAAATTTTGATCACAAGACTGGGGATTTTAAAAATTTGCCCCGTATAAAAGGATTTCCGTATTAAAGTCAAAACGCAAAAGCTTTGTTTTTCACTCGATGGGATACAAAAATAATTAAGCACTCAAACACAGTTTCGGAATTATGCATTACCCCTATTCTTCGAGTCTGTTACTAAAAAGTTACCAGTTAAAAATACTCGCATTCTAAATAGCAATTTTCATCTCATAAAAGGGTTGAAATGTTAGGATAATGTAATACATTTGTAATAAATAATTTGTTTAGATTTCCACTGCCTTTGTTTTCAATTGTTTCAACGTTTCGTTTGATGCGTGGGTGATTCCGTTCTAACTACCTATTCCTCTTATACTTAAAATTTCTTATTTCAACTCCATGTTTGTAAACAGTACTTAGATGACGCACTTTCAACACGATTAACTTGATGTTTCATAACTCTCATGGCGCACGAATCATATAAATTCAAATATAAAGACAAAAGTTGTTGAACCGGAATTCAGTGGTAACTTAAAACATGAACTAAAATAGCGTCTTCTTTTTTGATTGCGACATTTGTCTGATTAATTATTTGGTTGAGATATAATTTAAAATAAAAGCGACACAATTTACGAAAAATAGCTTTAAATAATAACTTTTTAGGACTTCCCTTGCCAGTTTGTTCCCATTTGCTTTACCAATTTTCGGTGTACTTCCGGTAAAAGCGAAAATATGTTTTTTTCATCGAACTCTATAAGAAATATTCTGATTGCTAATTTTTCGGTTAAAATAGGAAACCATGGTATTTATATTTAATTGTTTTATATGTAAGTTTATTTAATTTTTTTTCGTTAATAATTTATTTTTGACGGTCTTTATAAAAATAAATCAATGTTATTATTATTACGAGCTCAAAAAAAAAGAGTCGAAAATATACGCGATGTTAATTAGTCATTGGAAGAACGATATCGCGTCAAGATTTGCATTGGCTTTTCTAAATCTTTTTATAGGCACAATATTGTAATTTAACACGTCGATAAGAACAATTACGTCGTCAGTTCTAGTTATAGTTCCCGCTGGAGAGCTATACAGTCGTCTTGGTCGTTCTCGGGGGTACGTCCGCCATTATACCATTAAGAGAACAAAAAAAATAATAAGCCGCCTATCTGCCTTAACGAACTAATATTTACCTAATTATTACGTGCGTACTACATATATACATTGAAATTTTACGTAAATATAAGGTGGTCGGGTTTCGGAGGCGACGTATTTTTTTTTGTTTTCGTTCAAAATCATCGGGAGGAACGTTTCGATGAGAATCGATATGTTTTTGGATGTCTTCTAGAGCAAGAGTCGCGTCTCGAACCAGGACATGGTGCACCGGTTGACGGAGGGCTCGACCTACAGCGCGGGTTCCAACTCCATCGCGCCGCTGATGCCCAGCATTTCGACGGAATCGGAAGACGATGATTTCCAGAAGATTTTCGGCAGGGAGATTAATCGCAGAAGGGGCGCCGTCAAACACCAAAGGTACCAGATTGAGAACGTAAAAACCTATTCTTCGTAAAGAATTCTGAATTTGACTGTAGTCGACGATATCGTTATCGAAAATAGTTGATCCGAAGTGAAAACGTGCCTTTTTGAAAGAAAAAATGTTTAAAGTCTTCGCGTTGTGGTCCCAGGGAGAACTCAAACACAAAGTGGTTGTATAGTCTGATACACGACTGAAATAATGCTTCAAAAATGCTATTAGCTTTTTTACCTGCTGCTAGACATTTTTTGTTCCAGATTTTTTATAATTTCAACTTCAACTAGTTTTTTTTAGATAAGTATCTTCAAAATAAGCTTCACGCCAACTAAGGAACTCTTAAAGGACCCCGTTGGTACTTTTTTTTGCTAAAGTGCTGTGATTATGTGCGCATTTAAATGCATAAAATTTTGAAAATCCTCTAATTTTGGGCCCATACCATAGTCCCATTTAAATAAATATAAATGAAACCAAAATAAAATCGTAAGAAAAAAAGCTTATAAATACTTTAAAGTTGTCACTACCATAATTAGCTGTTTTTAAACTATGTCGGATTTTCGGATACGTCGAGATAATTCTTGGTCAATCAGCTAGAGAAACTGCGGTGTGTCGCAAGATTTTATACTGGTGCCTGGTACCGTATTCGTTTGTCTCCGGTACTTAGTATACTTCGGAACAATTATTAGAGATTTAAAAGAACAAACTGAGTTCTCAGCACATCACGGATCTGTTTCGTTCTTTGGAAAGAATAGGGATCGGAGGTTTTCTAGCCTATTTATGATTTTTTTTCTTTTTTATATTACCTACCTATAAGTACGTGTTACTCCAGCGAATTGATAGTTAAAAGTTATGTATTACTGTATGGGGGTCGAACTTTGATCAATTTTTAATTGCTTTCATCTCCTTTTCTGCAAATTATCTATTTATATCTTATTGTATTGTATATTGAATACAGCAGAATAAATAAATTAATATTTGTAAATAAAATGCAATAAATTCTCTAAGTATTTTCTCGGCTCTCTTGTTTTCATTTCTTCAAGTGCGCAAATAATCCAGCAAATTGGGGCGTTCGCAGCCATTAATCGAGCCCGGTCGAAACGGGACGCTAAATTAATAGAGAGAGCCTCGTTTCGCGAAACCGCCTCCGATTTTACCGGTTTCGGTCGGTTGTCGTTAAAGACGACCGTCGTCGCCGTGAAATTAATCGCTGAAGTATTTTTCAGTCGTTCGTTTGGAGCGAGAAATGACGCGTCCCGATAAATTTGACGTTAGTTCACGTGACACGCATAGGTAGACCAAAATCAGTCTTTTTTTTATGTGACAAACGTGCGGGGTGCCGTTAATTTTGCTCAGATCTGACAACATCGCGACAAGTTCCAGATGCTCAGGGGAACATCGAGCCGTTGCAAACAGTCATTTTTCAATTAATTAAATTGTAATTTATTTGTTTTTTGTGTCACTCCTGCGAAAACGGTCGAATTTGGGTACAGGAAAAATTAAATAAAAATATACCCTTTCCATTTTAAACAAGAAAGTTTGGTAATTTAGGTAAAAAACATAAATGTGGCAACGTCGCATGTGTCGCCATTACTACCAGTCTAATTAGAAACCCTCGTATACTAAACTTCGTACATGGCACGCCATACATCGTCGAATTTGTAATAAAATATATAAATAATTTCTAATTATAATATAAATAAAATAAAAATACAAAAATAAATTTGGCGGTGGTTTCTCGAAGACGAAACGTCGGATATAAAATTTAAACGAAAATATAAAAATATATAAATATTGTGAACGTAAATAAACTGCAAAGAACACGATTTTTTTCTTAATTTACCTAAGCTGTACCTCCAACCGCTTATCTTGGACACCCTGTATGTCGAACATAAAAGAAAAAAAGAAAAGGTACATAATTATAATGTCACATAAGTGAAAGTTTTGAATTATTAATAGCTCAATCATATCATAACATTTTTGCAAAAATTAGTACTTTAAAAAAAATTACTTTTAGGTGTATATTAATATTACTAAAAAAATGAAGAATTTTAAAAAGCATTCGAACAAAAATTTAACAATAAGGTGTTCCTTTTGAAAAGAATGTGTTTTAGTCGCCACGCTTTTCTGAGCTTTAAGTTAACTTTAAATCGTGCATCGTAACAATCTTTACAAGTTTTGTATTTACCATTTTCCCATACGTTTTGAAAACTGTTTCGTTGACTCAGTCGTTTTGTAAAGAAAACGAGCAGTATTATGAAGTCAGGCCGTTGAAAAATCGTAATTAAAATCTCAGTCGCTTTATTATTAATTCTATTTTCGATAATGTTACGGTAACGCGGAAGCTCCTTTCAGGGTGCACCAAGTGAGGGGCCACAAGTTCCTCGCCAAGTTTTTCCGGCAGCCGACGTTCTGCGCTTTCTGCAAGGATTTCCTGTGGGGTTTCGGCAAACAGGGATACCAATGCCAGAGTAGGGATATTGCGCGCGTCCCCGTTACCCCGTACGGTTACGTTTTTTCACGCCGTTGCAGGTTGCCAGACCGCGGTCCACAAGAAGTGCCACGACAAGCTCCTGGGAAAGTGCCCCGGATCCGGGATAAATTCGGAAAGTACGATCGTAAGTGACGGAGAGCTTCTCCTATTGTTTCGTTCTAAAAATATTCGGAACGTGCATAAATAAACACGCGGTCTCCTTTTTGTTAAAAAAAAACAACGATTCTGTTTGAGAGTCTCGAATTTGTTATCATAACGTTCACTTTTTAATTTGCCCCAAAAAAAAGTTTCTAGTGACTTCGGGCCAGTTTCTGAATTTAATTAATTATATTTAATTTATAACTAGGTTTAATGAAACAACAGATAATGTTTTTTTCTAAACGATTCTTCGAATTCAAAACAAATCTTAAACAAACAAAAAAAAAAGTATTTGCATTTTGTAAGATGCTAAAAGTGAACCATGGGAAATTTCACGTTTCTGTTTTTTTTCATCTGTCTTAATTATTCTGTTATTTATTTCGCCGGGCCTCAAATCATCACGAACAAATTTTAATGTCTATGATTACAACTACAAACTTCGCTCGCAAGAATACACAATCAGAACAGTGTCTTTTTCCTTAGGTGTCATGTTTATTCAAAACTATAGCGATTAACACTCCAAAATTATAGCTACTTCCGCCTTCATTTTTCAAAATCATAGCGACTTTCATCCAATTATTACTTCCTTAACGCAAACTGAACGCTTCTTTGAAAAATGTTCATCTAATTCTTTTAAAATCATAGCGAACTTTTGCTTAACATTTCAAATATTTCAAAATCTAACTCTTTACAATCAGAGATAGCATTTCGTTTAATACTGTAATATCATAGAGATTTTTCGTTATTACTTGAAAATTCTGGCGGCTTTTGATCATCATATCATAACCAAAGCGACTTTCGCTTAACACTTCCAAATTATGACGACTTTAGTCTGTCTTTCAAAATCACAGAGACTTTCCTTTATTACTTTAAAATCATAGCGTCTTTCGTATGACTCTTTCGAAATCATAGAGACTTTCCTCTATTACTTCAAAATCATAGCGGCTTTCGTTCATCAAATCATAACCAAAGCGACTTTCGCTTAACACTTTAAAATAGTGACGGTTTTCGTTTATCACTTGAAAATACGTTGTTAATTTTCATGTAACTCTTTGAAAAACCATTGCGACTTTCGTCATCATAGATTCTTGCTTAATACTTCAAAATATAGCGATACGATACCGTAGCGAGTTTTGCTTTGAAATTACCGACAAAAAATCTTTATAGCAAACACGCATACCAGATTATTTCATTCTTCGTTCTTTTAATTACACGTCTCGTCTACTTAAAAATCTCAGATTTGTTTCTTATCACAGCCATGTTTTTATTTCCTTTCGTTTTTATCATTATTAATAAATAACAAACGAAATAACAAGTTGTATCCCACTTCTGACTTGTAAGAAAAATAAACATGAAACATATCCTAGTTTTTCCATAATTTTTTACTTTCTGATACATCATGTAATGTTTGATGCCACCCCTTACTATCATTTTCCTACATTATTTCAATAAAAACTTCGAAATTCACTATTATTTTACGATATGACTTCGCACGCCAATGATTGATTCCTTCTCGGTAATTATTTTCTCCTACTTTACTCACCTCACACCCCGCATTTGCACCGCCGTGATTTTCCACGTAACTTCAGTATCTACGGGAGCGGTTCAAAGTGGATGTGCCGCACAGGTTCAAAGTGCACACCTTCATGTCGCCGACGTTCTGTGACCACTGCGGTTCCCTGCTCTACGGGATTTACAAACAGGGCCTGAAATGCGCGGGTGAGTCGTTACGTCGTCCTCGAAAGTGACGGATGCGCGGGGCCGTTTATTTTACGTTCGCCGGTTCGTCGGTTACTGTCGCAACTTTTTTTTGTTTTCGCCTGAAATTATTTAAAATTTCCAAACCCTTTTTGTTGCAAGGGGCCGCTTGGGATTTTCGGAGTAACAGAAAATTAAAACATAGTGACGTCGTCGTAAATCGAAATCGACAATTGACTTGACAATCGACTAACAAATGAACCAGCAGAGAAAACGGACGACTTTATAAATTTGAAAAGACAGTACCACTAGTAACGCCACTAGAGATCGAATTATTTCTCAAAGTTTGTTCGAGCTAATGAATATTTTGAAAATTTTGTAGACATATCATGAGCGAGAAACATTTTCTGGATTTAGTTCGACTTTGTGCGGTATTCGGTGAGAAAATTCCGCACCAAATTGTGTTCGAAAATGAAACAATTAAAATTTATTTTTCGATTTCCAACAACGGCAAATATTGTGTTCATCGAGTGCCAGCAAAACACAGTAGATTTGATCGGTTACCATGAAACACTAACCTAAAAACTATTTCAGTGGATTCTTTGCCAATAAACAAATGTTATATTTTTTCATTTTATTTTAATTTAATTTAGTGGTAAAAATTTGTTTTTTTTGCATATTTGTTAAAGGTTCGAAAGAACAGAAAAACTCGCGTTTTGTTCTAATAACGAATATGGTACACTAAGTAATACCAACTTAATTCCTTGTTTTAAAAATTGTTTGAAAATTATATGTATGATATGCAAAATATGCGTGAATTGTCTGATGTAATAGATAATAGTAAAGTACCAAACGGAAAAAAGGTGAATAAAATTGTCTTTAAATATTAGATATGTTTTATTAGATATATTTGTGTTCATTCCAAGTCCTGCAATTTCGCCGTCAAGAAGAAAGGAGATGTCCAAAGAATATAAAGGACGTTCAAATAGTATCAAAGTAATATGTCTCGTTTATTATTTGTTTTAGAGAAAAGTGTTAAATAAGCAGGTTGTAGATGAGACTAATAGAAACAATTTTTAATTATTTTCAAATATACCGGGTGATCCATAAATATGCGGAAAACGAAACATATATGTTTATAATCGCAACACCCTATATATTTAGGATTGTTTCGGATTTATGGCGATGTTTTAGTTCGAATCATGTATACAGGGTGAGCCAAAATGGAAAATATTAATTTTCTTGAAAAATTAACACCTTTTATATTATAATTCCATCAATTACTCGTATTAATGCTTTTCCAATTTTATTAAGCACTCCCTATACCTAAACTTAGTATTTTTTGAAGGATATCCATTCGTTACCAATAAAGTTTTCAAACCGTTCAAAAATATGAATATGTATATATCAAAAATAATTCTTTTATTCGTTACATGTTAATACAATATGGTAAAGAATTTAAACAATATAAACATTAATATTGTTAAACATGAAAAGATCCGTTTAATTAAGTTCCATTTTGTTTATTGCTAGCAATGTCTGGACTGGGCAGTTTAATAATAATGAGAAGAAGTATTTGCGTGACACCAAAAGCTGCGATTTAAAAACATCATCTTCAGTTCAGAGGTCAGTAATATTTTGGACCTGGACTGCTAAACATTTGTATACCTTAAAAAATACTGACTAAGTAATTATTAAATGTATTTGAAATGATTTGATCACGAAAATTAATATTTTGACTATACCTGTGTAAACGATTCGAACTAACTCCAAGATAGGCCATAAATCCGAAAATACTCAGTATACACCATAACCACCCCACATTGCATGAATGAGCATAAAAGGGAGCATCTACTAATGCTACTAATGATATTCAGGGTATTCCATTAAAAAAAAGTTTGGTTTCCCGCATCTTTTATGAATCGCCCTGTATATTATATATCTTGACTTTGCGAACGAAACAAGACCGTCAAAAAAAAATTTCGTGTCTTATTGGACGATTTGTCCGCGGAGAGACTATGCTGGAAATTACATACGTAACGCGTTTTAATAAACCCATTTTGGGTTAATCGCCGCCAGGTAGAGTCGTGGCGCATTTTCTTTACAACTGGTACCGGAAAACTTCCCCCGATCTGGCCGGCATCCAACCGGGTTTACGTTCGCTCAAATGCACCTTAAAATATGCTTTTATTAGCCGTTTCGTAGGGTCATTATTAGTTTCCAGTTTGACTCGACTGTTAACGCCTCTCTATTGAATTGCGTTTGCCGCCAGGTAGTGTAAAGTTTTACGCGCTCGACCGCCGTATTTTATTCCGATCGATGTTTACTCGCACCCCTTTTTTTTGCTCCATCTTTGCATGGAAAGCGGTTTCAATAATGTTGGAGTCATTAAAAAGGTCTTTTCCTATTGTCAACCTCACCGCTAGACGGCGTTTATGACGTAGTCGTAAAAAAAACTGAAACAATTTTATTTATTTTATTTCGAATAAATCTCAATAAGACAATCGTTAGTTATTGAATTAAATATGATGGCGAAATTGCAAAAGGTCAATACAACAAACAGCGGCGAATATTTTCCATGACGCTATCGCTAACCCTCGACGACGTCAATTCATTATGTTTTTCTTAGGATCAAACTCCTTGTCCCTTAAAGCGTTTTCGGAAAGAATTTGATTTAAAGGACTGTTTAGGTAACAAGGAATCTTCAAGGAACGACTGTAAATTTGAAATTTAAGTCTTTTATTAAAAATAAATAAAAATAATAATTATAATAAAATTAATTTCTAATATTGCTCAGTTGACATCGTGAAATCCTGTCACAGTTTAAGGAAATAGCGTTTTTTAACTAATTAAAATTTACACTTTTAATATTTTTGTAGATAACAGTTTTCAAATGACCTCACAGAAAGAAGTTTTTCTGTCATAAGATAAGTTGAATTCATTTTTTAAATGGTTTTTCCATTGGAAACTTAGTTATAACTTCAACAATTGATGGGTTGGTGATATTTCAAAATGGCTGATAATGTAAATAGCGAATTGTTTGAGAAGTAATATTGTTATATGAATTTTTTTGCCATCATATCAGAAAAAGCCACCTCGCGGCAAAGAAAGTAACGACAACCATTTCGAGACGTTCCAACAGAGCGAAGAGCATTGAAAGAAGATGTTAATGGTTATTAATTAATTAATTAATGGTTTTAGTGAAGGTTGGAATTTCTTGTACTTTACTTAATTTTCTTTTCGAAATATCTAATACTAGAACACCCGGTATAATCAAAGCGCGCGTAGATACGAACCGAAACGTGAAAAAAAACTTGTTTTACACCGGGAAATATTTTGCATTTATTGGTTTTTCACGTTATCCCCCGGGCTTTTAAAAACTATTTCAATGAAACCGCGCGTTTTTAAACGCACATTTCATATTTATACGCGCGCCCCTTTTGTTTCAAATGCAATTAATTGTTTTTTTTCCTTTCGCTGTTGGGTTTTTAAATTGTATAATGAATTTAAATTTAAATTTAAACTGTTTTCCTTTTTTCTTCTTCTAACTGACCCGGTCGTCGATCGTTCGGACGTTGCGGGACCCGAGGTTGCCGCGTCGACGAAAGAAAAATAACATTTGGATTCTTTTTAATCAAATTCCTATATAACAAAACTTAAACGTTTTATCGAATTTGTCAAGAAATGTCAAACGCGAGGATAATCCACCGCCTGTCACCGATATAGCGTGTCTTAAAGTATGTCTTAATGGATTTTGAGGAACCTTCCCTCAAAAAATAATTACCACCATTCCACCTGTCAAAAAAACAAAACGCATTGATTCGATAGCGATAAAATATTGATAATAGCGAGCAAAAGAAGAAAAATATATTCCATATACCGGGTGTTTTCTAATTCAATGTTAATAATTAAGAGGGCAATTTTTGGGCCCATTTCAAAAAGAAACCTCCATGTGCTAAACATACTGACATTAATTTCTTTCTTAATATTACAATGTCCAATCATTTCTAAAAAAATTAATTTCCTGATTTTTTTAATCAGATGTATGGTTCCCGCTTATTTTTACGTGAAAACCGTTCGATGGACAAAAAAAAGAGATCGAGTCTGCTGAACTTTTTTTTGTGAAAAATAAAATAACTATTTAAAACAAAATATCTAGTTTTTGTTACCGACTAGTGCCCTTCAGACAAAAAATATTAGAAGGCCGTTCTTTTTATTTTTACAGTTTTAAGGAAATAATGTATACTGCTAACAAGAAGATAAATAAAAATAATAAATTTGTTTTATTTATTTAAATTCATGTACTTTTTTCTTTTTAAAATGGGTCTAAAAATCGCTCCTAAAATTTGACAGCAGTGTTATCAGATTTACCGGTTTTAATAAAAAGATTTCAGAATTTTCTAGGTATTCCAACATATCAACTTTGTGTGAATCAGAATTATTAATACCACCGCGAAATCTGAGAACATTGTGTTGCTGCATGTGTTGAACTTTACAGTTAAAGCTATGGCAGTTTTTGAGATATGCAGTATTCATTACGACGTTTAAGATATATTAATGCGGATTCTCAATGAGACGTTTCACTTTAATTTTTCTTCCGGTGTTTCGGCAAAAGTTTTCCGCTTTCAAAATCGCCGGGTCTAGGGAAATTTACCGAAATCTGGCAACGTCGACGAAATAACCGAAATAACTATCGGGTGTGTCGAAATAAGCGCGCGTCCGTAATTTCTTTCCGTAAATAAAATTTTCGAAAAGGTTAGACCGCGGGAAAAAGCACATTTGTCACCCGAAAGTCGTTTTAAAAATAAATTGCGAAACACTCGAACCGCGATACCATATTTTTTTAATATTTTGTCGCGTTCATTACATTACATTTTTTATTTATTTCGTGGATTAACAGTCAGTCACAGCTGTATATATAAAACAGCACAATTTTTTTCGTCGCAAAACTATTTTAATTTTTAAAAAAACTAATATATCGCCATTTCGAAAACCACCTAAATTCAAATATAAGGTTATACGATACATTAGTTTGCTGTATCTCCGCGGAAGTATTAGGAAATTAGATTATTTAACACTGCTTATATTTTTCGTTCACTCTATAGGCCAGCCAAAGGAATTTTGTTCCTTTCTTTATTTTTTTCACTGTCCTTAAAAAGTGATGAATCTGTAATTACAGTGTTGATTTGTTTTTGATACAACTCGATGGATATCGTATATTTTGGTATATGTCTGGTTTAAGAAACTGTTTCTTTATTGTAATATATTCTGGAAAATCGATAGTTATGATGACTATCTTTCCTTTGCTTTGCTCTTGTAAATATTGTATTATTTTGGAAAGTCTTATTTTGAACTAATTTTGCCATAGACATATGTGAAACATCTTGGAGTTTACTGTTAATTGAGATTTCATTCACCTTTGGTTAGTTTCTACTGGCATTTCAATCGAAACGTTAAAAAGTTGTTAACACGTCACCATTCGGCCCTAAATTAACGGGCGTTCGAACGGCGCGACAGGCTGTTAATAAAATCGCCTCGAAGCCAAACAATTAGCGAGAACAAATATACGCTGGTCGTAACGCGCAATTGAAGCGCATATTCGGCACCATTAGCGTCGGCGGCGGGGGGTGGTACTCTACGCGTTTTAAAAAGCAATTTCGTTTCTTTTTCGGCGTCGTGAATAAAACATGGCTACGTAACGTTCTTTCGGCGGCCGGAGAAGCAAGACTAACCTCGTGGTATTTCAAACTCAGCGCATGATTGGAACTTTTTTTTTTCGATTAATTTCTCCTATGTTTGGTTTCTATAAACTGAATGATCCAACAAAGTTCCAGTTTAGTTTTTGTTTTAGATGCATTTGACAATGGAGAGCTTATAGATGTGCCAGATATTTGTTCGTAAATTTAAACGTTACAAGAAAAATATTTTCCAGATAAGTATAATCAAGGAGCAATTAAGATGGAAAATTATCACGTTTCTGCTCTGCCTTCGCCATCCGGCAAAATACCATATTTACACAAATATGTAACTATTTTTTGAGGTCTAATATGAACGTATCTGGCTCGCCAAACTGCAAAGAAAATGCTTACAGAAACAAAGTTTTAGCAAAAAAAAAATTGCGTCTTGTTAAACATGTTAAATTTTCAAAACAAAAGCCGATATCTAATTCACGAGCTACGAGTTTTAGTTTAATTTTTAATAGAAAAGGATAAATCGCTTAAAAAAAGGAAATTGTGTATCTTATTTGTGACTTAAAAGGCGTCATGGTTTGATCTAGTTTTTGAAATTTTTATTTTTATGTAGGGGGTGTTCTGTTCATCTGGCTGATTTACTATCTTTCTTAAATTTATAAATTTCCGGAATAGGTAACGTTATCTAAGGTATTAAAAATTTGTCGTTTTTGGGATATATGATTTTTCACATTCCCAGAGGATTTGGTAAATACACTTTCTGTTTAGTCGATGTTTCTGGCTTTGTTGTTAATGTGGTCCCGGACTTGAATACAGTCTTAAACCTAAATCACATCTTTCTACTGTTTTGTCAATAGATATTTTTGGAGTGTAGCCATGATAAACAAATCAATTTTAAAACTACTTAGTTTTACAGAGATGCTGATAAATCCATAATTTCTATTTACAATTAGAAACGATAGACAGTTCTTCTTGTCTTTCTCAACGGTTAATTTAGTGGACGGTCTGCGAGAATTTAGATGATCGAGAAAAAAGTGTAGCTGTCTATCGCCAGATGGTATCGTCAATATCTTCGCTACCACCGGAGAAGAGAGGGTTATCATCGGGTGCGTAAAACTTATCTTGAACGAAAACTTATGCAGGCATCGCTTCCTCTAGCGTTAGCGACGATCTCTTTGGAATTTTGTGCATCAATTTTAGATTTCAGAGCTAACAAACTTGTATTAAGGACATAATATTTTGGTTGTTTACAATATCTACAAAATACTCGGAGTGGTGATGGGTTCCACTAGGTTCCATTGTGGATGCTTGGAATTCCGTAAGTATATGATGGTTTAGTATGGTGCGCAGTTAACGAAGTTGTAAAATTATCCGGAATTTAGCGTCTGGATTTACGCAGTGCTCGATAGATTCTTATTTCCGGCTGCTTATTTTCGGAATCTCGGGTTGGCCACAGGGAGAAAATGCAGGGTTCACGATGGACACATCCATCTATAACCCGGATGAGTTACATTGTAAACAAAAATATACAGACAATGACTTAGTATTTCCACCGAATCGTCGTCTGTCACCTTTTATCAGTGTCGGACGGACGCTTTCGAAAAAAAAAAAGAGAAGCGACCAGCTTCGTTACAGGTGTCCCGCACGCACACGCTCTCGCGCGGCGGCCCACACGTCACACACAATCGGACATTAAAAATAGGCGCGCACACAATCCCGTTCCAAACACTCGGCTAGTTACCGACCGCACCTCGACGCGCGATATCCATCCACGTGCCCGTTATTAATAGGCCGATCGAAATGTCGTACTACTCCGAGCTCAACGTCTACACCCCCACCAGCGGCTACAACGGCCTGCTCAGGGGTCCTTACGCCAATCATTCCTCCATAGTCGCGTCCAACATACTGCCGCCGAAGCAGTTCCACCGCGTGAACTTTCGCGGCTTCGCGCCTCACCTGACGACCATCAGCGAGTCGAGAGGAATCTCGCCCCTGAGACGCGTCGACTCGCCCAAAATCGTTTACCGTCGAAGACCGGTGAAGATCAACACCGCCGATATAGACGTCTCGGTGAACAAGTACCGGCAGTACGAGACCAAGCGGAGCCCGAAGAAAGCGTCGCCCGCGGAGGCCAAGCCGAGCGCGATCAGGAGAGACAGGCCGACGGTACGGCTGCAGACGATCCACAAAGACACGCTCGGCAGCTGGCGCGACAACTTCGAGCCGGACGAGCTCGTGACGGAAGCGAAGGTGAGGAAGAAAACGCCCGGCGAGCTCCTCAAAGAGAAGTTCCTGATTCGGAGCAAGAGCAAGGAGAACGTCGCGCTGAAGAAGGCGCCCAGCTTCAAGGACATCTGCGACGTGATCGGCTCGGCCGTGCAGGACCTGAACCCCGGCCAGCCGATAGACGTGCGTCGCAGGCAGAGCAGGCAGGTGTCTCACGACGACGTCCTCAGGGAGATAAGGAGGACGTCGTCCGCGCTCTCCGCCGAGGACGTCGAGCTTTTGGACGCGCTCATCGACGCGGAAAACGACCTGGTTCTGGGCGGGGATTTCGAGCCGCCGCCCCCCGCGGGGTCGTACAAGCCTCGCAGAGACAGCTCGCTCACCGACATGATCAAAGATATCTCGCAGGTGGAGATCGAAATGATACCGGCCAGAGCGAGGCCCGTCATCAAGTCTTCGGTGGGCGACATCGAAGAGAAAGTCAAGCCCAGTTTCAAGGCGGTCATCGACGAAGTCAGCGAGGTGAAGAAGGAGAAACGGTTCAGGTTCAACGTGACTGTCGAGGAAATTCCGGAACGGCCCGACAAGTCGAACTTGCTGGAGGGCGTGGTGCGCCTGCCTCATCCCGAGCACCACGTGGTGACGAGCATACTGAAGAAGAAAAGCGCGTCGAGCTCGGGAGAGACCAAGCACCCGAGACTCGTCAAGTGCAAGTCGGAAGAGGCGGTCAGCTACACGATTACGACCAAAGTGAACCGCACCAAGAGCGCCGAGAACGTCAAGCTGACAATCGTCTCCGTGGAGCAACTAAGCAAAGCGAGGGGCTCGTCGAACGTTCCCCCGACGTTCCCCAAACCGGAGAAGAAAGTGGAGAGTGGAGCGAAGAAGATGGTGTCGAAACGTTCGCTCGTCAACAAGGCGACCAAGGAAGACCCGGACCTGGAGGTGTTCGAACCTCCGGAGTCGGAGCCCGCGGAAAAAGAGCCGTCGCCCGAGCCCGAGCCTTCGTTCGTGCCTCTGCAAAACAACCGGTTGTCCCGATGGATGCACCCTTTCAAGAAGCCCGATCAGAAGGACGAGTGCGAGCTGGAGATCTACGCGAAACCGAAGTTTATCAGGGCGAGGCACATCCCGCGCAGGTGGCAAAAGGATCAGAGCGCGGAGAGCGAGGATAGTGAGAGTGAAAGTAGTGAGGAGGACAGTGAGTGCGAGGAGGAGGAGCAGGAGGAAGACGGGAAGGAGAAGGCGTCGAGCAAGGTCGGCGCCAGCACGTCGTCAAACGATTCGGGATTCGATTCGGGAAGGGTCAAGGACAAAGGTCTCGATTTGCGTGAGCGTGTGTGATATTGAAAAGTTGAGGTTTAGCTGCTTTTTATGTTCCGGATCGTTTATTTCGCGGCGAATATCAGCTTCGACAACATTCCTGTAATTTATAACTAGTGGAAACATACAAGATAAAAAGAAGAACAACAACATACAAATAACAATTTAATCCATGACAGTATATAAAAGCAGTACCAGTAAATGGTATTCTTTAATTTTCTTTTTAACAGAAATGAGATTTAACGATCTAATATTTATGAGTAAATTTTAGTGGTGCTTTCAGTAGATTGTTGCCAAATCTACTAAAAAAATTATGATTGTCTACATTTCTAGGAATATTTTCACGATTTAAGCTCCTAAACCACGATTGACAATTATCTCGGTAGCCAATTCTTGCAATCATTCGAATTGCCTGTTTCTGCATTGTAAAAATTGCAGAAGACGACGAAAAGATGCCCCACAAAATGGTCAAATGAGAGTGAAAAAGAGAACGGCACACTACGATTAGATATTTTAGATGTTTAAATCGTTCACTTCCACTTCGGATGTACATAAGTGATTTTGCATTCGTGAAAAATCCAAAAAAATTATTAAATTATTCCAATTTATTCACTACGCATTCTGTAGCTTCCCATTAAGTATCATTATTGATTTGGACACTTTTCACTTGAATCATCAAGCGGAGAGTAAAACGTCATTCTTAAAGATTTTATTAATTTACAATTGTTAAGAATGAAATAATCGTAGTCTTATCGAAAACTCGGACAGGAAAACGTTTCGTACACAAACAGACTGACCGCCCATTGCAAAAATCCAAATATTCTTAAACAAGCTCGTCGGTAATTGCCCGCACCTGTGTAAACAAACTTATCGTTTGTGCCCTCGGGCGGTGCCTTGGGTGACGCGACCGCCGGCCATTGTATTGTCCGTCTTAAATATTTCCAGCGGCGTAGTTGATATTGTTACACAATGCAATTTCAACTTGAAATTTTCGAATAGTCGCGCGCAAAACATAATGACTGAATCAACTTACGCAGATTTTTACATGCCAAATTTGAAAAAAATCGGTTATGTTTAAAAAATGTCAAATAAATTTTACTGGAAAAAGTTGTTTCTTTTTTAGTTTTTTACGAATGTGAAATTTAAAACAAAAATTCATTTTTCCAATCTGATTTCTTCTAGGACGTCCAAATTTAAAGAAATACGGCTTTAGCGATACATTATACGACTTTTTACAAAATTTAATTTCTAACTTTTTGGACGATCAGCAATATTTTTCCAAGCGTAATTTTCCGGATAGGGAATGCTTTTTTTTTTAAGCCATTTCCGGATAAACTTTTTACGCATATCGCAATGACTCAAAAAAAATCTTTTTTTATATTTAGAATTATATATTGCCTTTCCAGAAATATTTTTTCTTGTTTTTCTGGAAAAAATAGAGGTTTTGAACTTCGAGTAATATTTTTTCTTATTTTGATTAGCATGTTAATTAATTTTTTTTTTGAAATAAATATTTTGACACCCTGTATATCGAAACCAAATCAAGTTTATGCGTAAAATTTGTGTTATTTTTACCTGAAAAAACGATTTTAGATGTTTGACGCGTGGACCATACTCGTCACGTAGTTTGGTTTATTATTTAGATTCCAAACCATTTTAAGCAGATCGCGTTGGGAGTGAAACAGATACAACTCCCGGGTGCGGGCAATTTGCGTTATATTTATACCTGGTTGATTTATGGAGATACAACGGCAACGAATGGCGTTTAACATCAGAATATAACCGCGCTATTCGCCGCAATATACACTGGCCTGCAAAAAGAAGTACCAAAAAAAATCCTAAATTTTTTATTAGAGATAAAAATTCTGATAACAGACTTAAAATAACCCAGCAGATTTCGGAACATTATTTGTGTCGTAAAGTCTCGAAAGACGAAAAAGTCGATTTCAGACATTCAGAATTTTTTACATTCGTTTTGGCATATTCAATTGAATAAACCATAAACAAAACTTCATTCTTCTTTCGCTGTCATTTTTGTTAAATACTCTTTGCCTTGCCTTGTTCAGAGCTTAACAGAAACTGCTTGGCATTCCACTTTGCTTATATGCTGTTATATAATTACTTACTATATGTGGTCAGTAATGTTATAAACGCAGTGCACGTGTTGCTTTGAGACTCATTTTCTTTTGGAAGTTGAAGTGCCGTTTTGTAAGACTATTATTAGTTATTAGAATATATTATTATAATTGATAGTTTCAGCAATAGGAACTTTAGTGAAGGGAGACTCTGTTATCGTTTTTTTTTATCGATTTCCTTGATTTTTTTGATAATCAGTTGCATTTCCTTTATGGGATTCCATTGTAAAGGACTCTCAGAATAGAGAATATGACCTGAACTGAACTCCCCAAAGTCGTTTATCCAGGACATACGGAATTTAGTTTTCAGTATTTTAACAAACACCGGTCAACCAGACGCAGACACAACTCAATTTACAAAACAAGGGACACGAGAATGTTTCAAGCCGGCGATATCAAAGATACTAAAAATTGACATCCCTTTGAACCATCGGATTCTATTTGGAATATTGTTAGATTTAAATAAATCGAGATTGTTTTAAAGACGACTTTTCCGATCTTGGCGTCAATGTCGAGCGGTGCATGCCAGAGCAGGGCATCAAACTGATGCCCGTCGCCACCCTCTGCGGCGTCCCGGCTCACGCGCGCGAATAGACCCGAAGATTTCCCGACGCATCCGAAATCGATAGATCGCGCCAATATTTAAATATTCGAACGTAATCTAACACGGCCAAACTGACAACATTCCGCTCTCGGAATGCATGACTCATTTGAAGTGTCACAGACATGAACACACAGAAAAAAAACAAAGTTTTATTTCTTTACAGCAACGTTAAAATATATAGATGTGTACATCGGTAAAAATTCGTAAACCTTTCATTCTGCAGATTTATCATCAGCCGTCCCAGAGTTCCCTGTAATGAACAAAAAACGAGAATTCATCAATCAAATGAATTTCACAAACAATTGGGACTAGATTTACGTAATAACTCACAAGCTGACAGACACGATGGAAATTCTGTAGTAAGCACGCATTTACAAATACAGAGTTGACTTGAGTAGCACGATGGAAATACTGCAATAAGCACGTATTTGCGATGGGCTCTCAAACAACAAAATCAAAACACAGAGTTGACTTGAGCAGCGCGATGGAAATACTGCAATAAGCACGTATTTGCGATGGGCTCTCAAACAACAAAATCAAAACACAGAGTTGACTTGAGCAGCGCGATGGAAATACTGCAATAAGCACGTATTTGCGATGGGCTCTCAAACAACAAAATCAAAACACAGAGTTGACTTGAGCAGCGCGATGGAAATACTGCAATAAGCACGTATTTGCGATGGGCTCTCAAACAACAAAATCAAAACACAGAGTTGACTTGAGCAGCGCGATGGAAATACTGCAATAAGCACGTATTTGCGATGGGCTCTCAAACAACAAAATCAAAACACAAAATACTCCAAAGACTATTTAAATTAGTTTTATATACACAACTCAAATCAATCTAACACGGCACAACAAGTCAAATTATGTACTTACAATTGTCTAGTTGTAATAATCTTTGGAAATCGTCAGGCGTCCAATCAGTAGGCCAATGCCGCAACTGATCCTTAGAACATTTAAAAGTTTTCGGAGTACCTAATTTCTTAATCAAATACCGATTATTGGTAAGTGATCTCTTGATTATGTAAGGACCAACAAATTCACAAGAAAACTTTTCAGGTCTTTGACCTCGGCTTAACAAAACAGTATCACCTACTTTATACAGCTGATTGTCTCTTCGCTTCTTATTTAGATAATTCAACTGCCTTTCTGAATTTTGCCGTAGTTTCTTTATAACTGCGGAATAATCCACTGGAGATTTAGTTTCATCAGGGATTGGCAAATCGGTTAAGACTGTACGAATTTGAGGCGTTTGACCCTCTCGACCAAATACTAACTTAAAAGGTGAGCAACCAGTCGTCTTTTGTTTCGTAGTATTGATTACTAACTGGATCTTCCATACTTTGTTCGGCCAATCTGTTACTTTATTGGATTCAACTCTTAACAAATTGGTAATAGTTCGCATATAGCGTTCTATTTGTCCGTTGGAGCGATGAACACCGGGGGTTGTCACGTGTAATTCGATGCCAAAATATTCGGTAAATGATTTAAATATTTTTGCTATGAAATTAGTTCCAGCGTCGTGAATTAGTTTGGAGGGCGTGCCAAATATGCTGAGGAATTTAGCAAAATTTTGTGTTGTTTCTTCTGTAGTAACGGTGGATTGAGGATATAGGAGACAGAATTTGGAGAAGGCGTCAATTATAACAAGGATATATTTATAGTTTTTTGGATTACCTGGTAAGGGGCCCAGACAGTCGACATGAACTGTATGGAATGGTTCATCGGGCTTTGGGATAGAAGTAAGGAAGCCTTGTTTAGGACCCGTCTGATTTTTTCGTACTGCACATATCAAACAGTGTTCAACATACTTTTTAACATACCTGGTCATATGGGGAAACCAAAAGTAAAGTCTGATTGAGGCAAGAGTTTTTTCCCAACCTATGTGACTTTGATCATCGTGAAATATTTTCAAAAGACTATAACGGTTATTAGATGGTACAAAAAGTAAAGACTGAGACGATTTGTTATTTTTATTGGTTGTAATACGAAATAAGGTCTCTTTTTCTAATTTATATTTTCGTTTGACATCATCTTTAGCATCGTTCAAAGATTGAATGATTTGTTTACATTCCTCATCTTGACTTTGTGATACGGTAAGCCAATTTTTATGAAAATTGGGTTGTGAATCGATATGAGCTACAGTTTCAATTGGGTTCCTGCTAAGGAAGTCAACATGAGATATTTCAGAGCCCTTACGATAAACAATTTCGAAGTCGAAATCCTGCATATAAGCCCACCAGCGGGCGGTCCGCGGCTTAAGTTCTTTTTTGCTTGCAGATAATTTTAAGGAATTGCAATCAGTTACTAAAGTGAATCTTAATCCAAGCAAATATACACGAAAATTTTTTAAAGCTTTCACAACGGCCAGAGTCTCTAGTTCAAACGAATGATACATAGCTTCATCTGGATTGGTTTTTTGACTGAAATATTCAACTGGACGAAAGGTATCACTGTGTTTCTGCAATAAAATAGCACCGAAACCAATACTGCTCGCATCAGTATGCAATTGAGTCTCTAAATTTGAATCGAAAATTGACAATAGGGGTTTTTGAGTAAGGACATCAATAACATACTGCCTTGCTTTTTCACATTCAGTCGTCCAAACAAAGGGAACATCATTACGAGTCAAGTGAGTTATACAAGCTACTTTGGAAGAAAAAGCGGGAATAAATTTACGGAAGTAGCTCGCCAAACCGATGAATTGGCGCACTTGTTTCACGTTAGTGGGTGACAGACTTTCCTTGACTGCTTTAACTTTATTCGGATCAGGTCGGATACCATCAGCCGATATTTGACGACCTAAATAGGTGATGTTTTGCATAAAAAATCGACATTTACGAAGGTTAATTGAAAATCCGGCTTTAGACAAAGCATCAAGAACTAATTTTAGTTTACAAAATCCATCCTCAAGTGTGATGGAGGGTATTACTATGTCATCCATGTAAACAACCGCGGTGTCATATTTTAGGTTACCTAAAGCCATATTAATTGCTCTCTGAAAGACCGCAGGACCATTGGCCAGTCCAAAAGGCATTTTTAAATACTCATACTGACCATCCGGTGTCACGAAAGCGGTTTTTGGAATCGACTCGGGATTAATCGGGATTTGGTGAAAGCCCGAAGCCATATCAAGTGACGTGAAAAATTTATTTTTGCCTAAACGATCGAGCTGATCGTCAATACGTGGCAATGGATACCGATCTCTTAAAGTTATTTTATTCAAATGACGATAATCGACACACAATCGAAATGTCCCATCTTTTTTCTTAACGAGTATAATCGGGCTCCCAAATGGAGAATTGCTCTCCCGGACGATTTCGTTTTTAATTAGATCAGCAACGATGCCACGTACTTTCTGACGCTCAAACTCCGACATACGGTAGGGATGGTGATAAACAGTTTTGTTTTCTGTCAATGTGATGGTTAATTCCCCGGTATTGACAGGTTTAATGGTAAAATCAGTAGCAGTTGACAAATTCTGATAATTCCCCAGCAGTTTGATTAGTTCAGCCATTTCTGCATGCTCCAGATCACTTGTTATTTCCGAGTTATGAATGGTTCGAGTAGAATTTGTAAGCGCAAGCATGGGCATAATTTTTTGAACGTTTTTATTTTTTATTAAAACTACATTATTTTCGTAAACATTTTCACCAACGATAACGTCATATTTGGAATGACTATGCGGCACAATAACAAGATCAAGCGTTATTTTTATTTCGGGAAACTCTACCAATGCTTTGGTAAAAGAAAAAGAATTATGTATGGTACCGTCGAACCATCGTAAAGGAGTAACACGCGGAATTTTCTTTAGATTTAATTTGTCTACCAACGTTTCTTTTATTAGCGAACACGTGGAGCCGGTATCAATTAAACAATTTGTAGTGTAACCCGAAATAACGATAGGCACAGTTTTTAACTTGTTTTCATTAAAATTATGTGAATTGAGCAAAACGTGATGAGATTTAAATTTCTTTACGGTTGGGTCCTGTCCGGACTCTGAAACTTCACTTCCTCGACTTTGTTTATTTTGCCGACGAAAACAATTTTCAATGCCGTGACCAGGTCTTTTACAATATCGGCAAACATCAAACCCTTTATTATCCGAGTTATTGGTATTCTTAGTTTTAGATTTACAATCGCGAGAAAAGTGTCCCGATTGACCGCAAGAATAACAATTTGCCTGCGTCGTTTTTTTGTGTGAAAATACATTATTTTTCTTATTCAATTCGGATGCCGATTTTTCGACCAGAGGAATTTTTATGTAATTAGAGAGAAATGCAATTAAATCACTAACAGAGGCGGCACTACAATTATAGGCCGCAGTTCTGACCGCAAGATCGTCTATTGAATGAGCAATTATTTCGATCAAATCCGAATCAGACCAACTTGCCCGCGTGCGCTTTAATTTTTCTAATTTAATTCTCGCGTATTCAACATAACTGCGCGCATCGGAACTACGATAATTTACAGCATCGCTTAACAGTTTACCCAAATTCTTTTGTTTGGGAAAAGATACAGAAAAGTCAAATTTAAAATTTTCCCACGTTTCTTCCGTGGGTTGCCATGCCGAAAACCATCTTAGTGCAGATTTTTGCAAAAATGGACCAATTCTACTCACGGTTTCCCGATCTGACCAAGCAAATTCGTTCTTATACCCTTCAATTTTTTGTAACCAAATACCACTATCCATATTGTCGGGGTCAAAACTCGGCAAGGCCAACGAAATGGGAGTGGTTTGGGTGGCTGGCGATGTGGTTGATGTCGGCGACGGCTCCTTTGTACCGACACGCTGTTGCAAATTCTCAAGGATCGACGCTATGGCGCCCAAAGATCGATTCAGTTCTTCTTCGGCCATTATAGCACACTCCAAATTACGTTAAACGATTACACGTGTACCCCACACCTGATGTTAGATTTAAATAAATCGAGATTGTTTTAAAGACGACTTTTCCGATCTTGGCGTCAATGTCGAGCGGTGCATGCCAGAGCAGGGCATCAAACTGATGCCCGTCGCCACCCTCTGCGGCGTCCCGGCTCACGCGCGCGAATAGACCCGAAGATTTCCCGACGCATCCGAAATCGATAGATCGCGCCAATATTTAAATATTCGAACGTAATCTAACAATATTATTTCATTAATTTTACAAAGAACCTTTTGCTTTTACCCTATGTGGGTTTATCCTGGGTAATTTTATGAATCTCTTCATATATGGAGGTGGGTTTTGACGTTTATGCAAATTCGCACATATAAAACCTTGAGTTTCCGTTGAACAGTAGACCTGCATGTAAGCGATTATTGTAAAGTGTGCGAACAAAGCGATGAGAAGACGAGTTATTATAAAAAGTGCCAAAACAGCGGAAAACCACAAAAATCTTGAAATAGAAAGAGAGCGACTCACTCCCATATTAATATAGAATTCATTTTCTTGTCTACGGTTTCCCTGTTTGCGTTTTTTTCAAAGGTCTGCATTTTTTCAATAAGAATTTCATACTCTTGACATTTCATTTTCCAAAGACAAGGGAACGATTTAAATAGTCGAATAAACTCCACGATAAATTCTTCTGTGTTTGAGATTGAATTTTGTGTCATTTCATATATATAGCTTTTGTTACAAAATTCGGTAATTTAGAGTTATGACCAATTTTATGCAACAACTCGTGTATTTTATTTTAAATCTAACTAAACCCATATAACATCCTATTGCATTTTTTTAATAACATTAATTACTTAAATTCAATATAAAATCACTAAGTAAATAGAACTTATTGCTAATTACACAAAGTTTTCTATATAACCTCCACCTTTGTCGATATTAGTAGTATATATGGTTTCAATTTTCGCAATAATCGCTTCTGTTTGTGTTAAGTATTTCTACCTCTTATCGAATTCTCATTTTTAAGACTTGAACACCTATTTTTGAGCACTTCGGTTTTTATGCAGCCCCAATAGATGGTCTCGTACCGACCAATCCAAAATGGAAACGTTGATTTAAACAGTTTCTAACAGGCCATGTCTTGTTGCAAAGCAATCTTTTCCTTAATATCGTCCGGAAAATGATCAATTAATGGAGATATACGGTTCTTCAATAAATTTAAATATCTCTCACCATTCAGAACAAAGTCATAAAATATCGGGCGCAGGGATAAAATTATCTGGGTCACTTAAAATATAGGGTGATGTAAAGATAATTAAAGCATAAAAGCATAAAACTTCGTATTTTCTCCGCTCCTCAGTCCAGACAATACCAACGAAAAATTTTTTTCAAGAACGACGGAGCCACTTTTTTTACGTTGGTTTTAAGGCAATAGCCCCGAAACAAAGTTGGGTTTCGATTTTTGCGACAGTAACGCGGCGCGGTCGGCTTCGAATTTCGCTAATTTTTCCGCATTCAGACTGCGACGTCAACTGCCACAAGAAGTGCGAAAAGTTGACGGCAAACCTGTGCGGCATCAATCAGAAGTTGGTGGTCGAGGCGATCGAAAAAGTCCGAAAAGGTAAGCGATTACGATGACGGACGCGTTTTAAATAGAGCCGGGTGGGGAAAAATGCGACTGCGACCGTTTTACCTGCCGATCGCCAGTTGTCGTTTTTTACCCACGCTCCGGTGACTGTTTGGTGCCCGAAATACGTTTTTCGGGCGTATTTTTAGATTTAAAACTAACCTTTCTTTCGAATGCGACTGTCGGTCGCCAACGATACGCGGACAAAGCAATTATTTGGCGCAAAAAAGAAATTGACGTTCGATTGGATATACTTCGAAATAAATTAAAAAGGTTTTTTTTTAATCCGGTATCCGCAAAAGTTCCTAAGTTTAACCGTAACTACTGCGAGTACTATCTTGAAGCTCAGCTGGAAACGAAACGGGAGTTTTTTTATGTCATTAGGTGGCCAAATAAAGGCTCTCCAACCTATTGAAAAAATACAAATAAAAGACACTTGACACTTTACCAGTTACAAGTCGTTAATATTTTCAAAGAAACTTCCACAGGCTACGAGGTTAAGATTGGTAGGTTAGTTAGAGATTTCTATGGATTCTCGGATTTTTCTTTGGTAGAAGAATTGATTACATGCAAGAATTTTGTCCGGTTTCGAGATTGTGTTCGACAGCTGTTGATGAGTTTATTTGTCGTAATCTTTGGGCATGGTTGATATTTATCGATAGGTCTCTCCAATGTATTTCTTGCCGCATATGCACGGAATGCTGTAAATTCCTTGCATCTAAAATGAATTTTTTTCTTTGACGGATCGAAGAGACTTTTGGACACGTAGACAATAGGTAATTTTTTATTTCCATGGATTTTTAACAAAGCATTGGATATCATATAAAAAATCTTAGTAGATATCTACATAAATATATATGTATATAATAAAAAACATACAAGAAAAATGTCAAAATTAAATATCTAATTAAAGTATGGCTTAGATTACAATTTAGATATTCATCTGCAGCGTAAAAAGCATTTTTAAGTACACGTTTACAGGCACCGTATGTTTTTATCCTCCATAGGAAGTTTATTTTAGAGTTTAACTATTAGAACTATCGGGACAGGTGTTTTGCAAGAGTATGTGTATGGCTTAAATAGAATAATTGTCAGCATTCTCTTTTGATAACCTAAAAAGCATCATTTCGGTTTTCGAGACCAGTTCATTTCCATTGCAAAAAGTTATCATTTTATCAATTACAGCGCAGGTTGATTTTTTCGATAAGATATGTAAAGTATGCATAATGTTATGAATAAAAGTGGTCCCAGTATGCTTCCTTGAGGTACTCCACAGGACCATAGAGATATCATTATTTTTTAAATTCGTTTTTTGTTCTATACTCTCTTCATCGAGCATTAATTCTAGCAGTAACAGTGGTAATTTAAACTAGTAATTTTTTGTAAGGAGGGACAACAAGCAGTATATAAACAGGTACAGAGTAGGATCCGAGCCTTTTTCGGTTAAGCTTTGAAGAAGCCAAACGTAAACAAGTTTGATTTATAAAAAAATTACTCAGGAAGAATCCAGAAGATTTTAAAATAGCTTTGCAAGTTGTTATTAATGTCTAATTATCCAGAATGTTACAAATGTAACTTTAATTTAGAATTTAGGATGCCAAATAATATTTACAATCAAAATAAAATATCTATCTTTATCGCCTTGTTGCCTTAGTTGACATCTTTATGTTTTGATATGCTTAGTGGTGTCCTTTATTATCCAATTAAGAATTAGATTTTACCTCATTAGATTAGATTAATTACTATTTCAATATTAAAGGGTGTATTGAAATAATCTGTTTTTTTAGTTGTAATTAAAACTGTAAGCCGCCGAAGGACATTGAAAAATACGGAAGACGCGCAACGGAATTAGTCAATCTCCTATAATTAAGTTAGTGACCGCGTTAGTGATTAAACAGAATTTTTACCGGGAAAATAAGTGTCAACACGTAAAAACGTCAGCTTTGATGTTTTATGAGGGTTTTTAAAATCATCTGATATCACGAATAATAAAATAGTTAATAATTATGGTTAATATTAGAAGATTTTGCAGAAATCGAATTTACTCGAACATATTTTCCTGCAATTTTTTCCTGTGTATTATATATTTTTTTAATTTCCAATGTCTGTTAATAGCCACAATTAACATAGACATACAATTTTTAAAATCAGGTATATTAAGTGATGTTTTTTGAATTCTTTAGTTTGTTGTGGGAAGGGTGTAATACCTTTAATGTGGAAATTTTTAGAGAGAAAAGTTTGAATGGTGATGACAGGCCAAATAATAAAAGTACCGTCAACGTGGTGCCTTCTTGTGTAGTGTGTAGAAGGTTTCCTTTTGAACTTCCTGTTTGAGTCCCCTTTCTACATTGGAACGTTTTAATAAAAAATATTATTATAAAATTGTTCTAAATTAAACACAGGGACTTTTGGGGGTGTCCGTCTTCGGTAATAATGTTATTCTATTTTTATTAAATGGATTTGTGTCAACTTTTTGATTAAACTACGTTTTCACTCTATTGACATATTGATTTTTTTTTTATTTATTTAATCTACCCGTTGAATGAAAAATAAAAAAAATACATACAGGGCAAAACCGGAAGTGATATTCAAATGTTTTAAATGTCGCGGTATATAATGGATGGAGTTATCGTCCGATGGGACCCCGAAAATTCTCGCGAGCGGAACGGCGGCGAAATGAAATTCTTCGCGAAAACAAGAATTTCATTACGCGAAAATCGTAATTACTTTATAGGTGACTGATTTTTTGGCCGCTACGACGGCCCGCGCCCCGAAAGGAATCGGAAAAGCAAGTTCAAAGCGTAATTTCCGAGTTTAATATTTCACCTCGCGGCATAGAAAACGGGGCGATACGCATTCGGAAAACGACTTTTAATATCCGCGACTCCTTTGAAAACGCAAATAATTTGGGGAGTAATAAATATATACATATATATAAGTCACGGGAAAGTTTGGGCGACGGACTCCAGGGGTCACGTATTTCCATTGAAAAAGATGGAAAGTTCTCTCTACGGAAAACTTAAATATGAAATGACATAATATTGACATATAAAAATTATCGAAATTACCAATAAATATATTTTTTAGTCTCCGCTTCACGATTGAAGCAAGCAGTGTCGATAATTCGTACAAATTTTTTCGGGTCCACAGGGCGGTAAAGTTTTAAAAAATAAAAAATATATTTTTTTAACATCTGTAATACGCCTTTAGATATTTTAATGAAATTATGTAGGTATTGTGTATCAAGATGCATTATTTCGTGTACCACAATTTTTTTTAAATACACCAGTGGCGGGCGTACAGAATTTCACCTGCCTAGTTTGACAGACATTGACGGTACGCCACCGATTTCTCTTAAAATAAACATTATTTTTTACAATTTTCAATCATTTCCAAAATAAATTTAATTTCTTGAGTTTTTCCATTGCAATGTATGGTTGTCGCTTAAAAAAATAACAAACCTCTTCTGGGCCGATAAAACCCTCATGCAGTTGTTTTTGGGTAAATGTTTGGGCTGGAATTGTTCTAAATTAGTTAATTGCACCCTTTTTGTTTACATGTTAAATGTTTAAACATTTACTAACTATTGAAATAAACTTAAGATAACATTTGACATTTAAAATTTTGCGTCCTCAATTTCAATAACCGAAAGTTGGCAACGCTAATTACATGGCATATTGAAATGTCATTTTAAAGAGCAAAACAATGTTTATTAGTTCTATGGTTAATGTGTTTCGCCTAATTCGACCCTTTGAAAATGACTCGTGACGCGTTTCGAGTGCCATTTTTTCCCCGTCTTTTCTGGTTCGTTTCACGTCTGGCCAGTTCCAAGTTTGTATTTATAGTATCACGACGTCACGCAGTGTTATGAAGCGTGTGACTTAGCTTTTTGTTTTGCGCGATTCTAGTTCAGGGATTATTTTTGGCCGCCCCGGCATCCGAACGTTTTGAACGTTCGCGCCCCACCATCGGCGTTGTTGTTGTTGTTGTTGTTGATTTCGACGTGACGTCTTTCTAACGCTATATATTTTTTTATTTAGCCGCGACTTTTGATTTTTCCTAGAATCATCGCAATGCGATGCCGAAGAAATTTTAAAAACGCTTCGATTTAATGGTGCGGAAATTTAACTAGCCAACTAGTAGGAACATTTTTAAAAAGAGGTAGAGATGCTTACCAAACGTCTACTGATTTTATTCATATTTTAAGTTATTGTAAAGCTATTGGATTGTTGGTCTCTTGTTTAACGCTTTAAAAAAGTTTTTTTATATTCTTTTGATAATAAATGGCAAAGATAAAGAAAAAAAGTTATTAAAATTGCAAAAAGTAAACTGTTAGAGATAAATATATCTACCTACATGTTAAAAAAAAATACACACTACTACTACTACTACACTCAGAAAAAACGTCGTAAAATTAAAAAAAAAAAACGCTACATACTTAATCAAAATAAAATGTAATGTTTCCATTGGAATGAAATTTGCCCCGACTTAACAAATTAAAAATAGAATATGAAAATGATGTTTTTTTTTTTAAAAGATTATTATTTATTTGCCAACCTAGTAAAATAATTAAATGAAATTTCAATTCAAATGTCCCCCAATACCCAAAGTTCCCAATCCAGTTGCCACCAACCCTTTAAAACAGCTTCCGCGTAGTTTTGTTACTCCTTCTCGTTGGGGAACAGACTATAATCGTGACGTTATGACGCGCAGGTTCGGTGGACCACCGGGACGCGTCCGTGAATCCGGCCTCGAACCCGGTGTTCGCGTTGGACCTAAACGATCTCCCCGAAGAGGTTTCCCAGTCCAGTACCTACCAGAGCTTCCAGAGGAGCGGCCGCATAACTCCGCCCGCGACCACGATACCCCGCTTCAGGAAGTACTGCGTCGACGACTTCAACTTCCTCAAGGTGCTCGGCAAGGGCAGCTTCGGAAAAGTGAGTCCAATTTTACGGAAAATCTTTATAGTATACGTGGTCGAAATGTTTGGGGTTAGAAAACACGATAATAAGATTTGCTTTAATTTAAATGGAACGACTAGTAGATTACTTTAATTTTTTGAGGGTCCTAGTTATTTCTGTTTCCGTTTTCGTCGCTGTAATACTTTTGAATATTTTCAAAGTCAGAAAAGTTCATTTTTTCAAACGAGACCCCCTGTGTATTTTTGGACAGTAGAATTCACACTTGTGCAGAAATTCCGACTTGTTTTTCACAAATTCTGACTTCTTTCTTAGAGACTCATGCCAAAATGTCTGGAAAAGTATACTTTAGCCTAAAATTTAACACGAAGTTTTAGGCTTGTTCAAGATTTGCTTTAATTTTAAATGTAACGATCTGTTTCGAGGAAATGTTTCAGTTCACTTCATAATAATTTTTGTTCCTGCTTCTGTTTGTCAGATGTTTTTTTTTGAAAATATTTACAGATTTTGCCTTGGGAAAGTAATACTTTTGAAATTTTGCAAGGTGAAAAAAGTTTGCTATAATTTTGTTTATTTTTATTTATTGGTTTTTTTTTAGAATTTTTTAATTTGCTTCATTTCAATACTCCAATACTTCTCGCCCAGTTTAGAGATTGCCTACTCTTTATTAAAATGTGAACTAATGAATTACCCTGTATATCTAATGTTTTGATTCGTAATGTCCCTCATAAAACACGTATGTCAGAAATTCTGACTTGTTTTTCACAAATTACTTACTTCTCAGAAATTGTGACTTTTTCCTCGGAATGTCGCAAGTGGAACTAGAAAATTTTGTAAAGTTAACTAAAAGTGATTTTTTTTCATTTTGAATAAATGTGGCTACTCGAGAATAATTGTGTTCAACATTGTGGTTGTAAACATTTTCTTTTTTGTTTTGAACAGTATTACGTAGTAGCAGACCAAAAATTATAATTACAAAAACTGATTTTAAAATTGCGTATATTAATTTTTGCTGTCGCCTTTTCCTAGCAAACGAACGGACATTACGAAACATCGACCTGTCGAGTTCGCGGAAAACGTGGCGATTTAGTTCGACCGTCAGGTGAAAATAAACCGCGCTCCCGCAGAAAATCCGGACGGCCCTAATTTTTTAACGGGAAAAACATCTCGTCGAACTCACCGCTTAGCCCCGAAACCTACTTTTTTTTTTCTCGCCTGTATTTTAATTTTCGAGGGCGAAAGAAATGAATATGACAGAAAGTAAGAAAAATATTTAGAAGTTTCCATTTTTCCCGTCGAACCTTTTCATCGTTAATGTCTTAATATTCCTTTTTATTCTATTGTATTTTAAGGGGGAGAGGGCCACAAAATGTTCTGTGTATCAAAATATGACGATTTGTCAAATAAACCTACGCCCTAAAGTCAATACTTACGGAGATACATGGTGATAAATGTAATTTCATTTTTTCGTTTTTTATTCCTTACGCTCGCGATTTTTGCAGAAATACCGTCGTATTTTTTTATATATCTGCAAATTTTATTTCCGATGTCAGGGTCGTTTTCTGGTATTTTATGTAAGTAAAAACCCTACTATTATTATTAAGAATGGAAAAAGACAGAAGACTTCTATTGGCGGAGTTTAAACGGCAGTGAAATTAAACCCGAAGTTCTGATTAAGAACTTTAATGAAAGGAAATCACCGTTCGCAGAATACAATTAACAAAAATGGATATAAACGGAAAGAGAATCGAGCACTCACTCTTGCGCGGTTGTAATTCGCGGCGGGCTTTTTCTGCGCGACGTAGACGGGCGAATTCTCCGGCACGGGCGAGCAAAGGCGCGGTCACCATGGTTACGGACGGACAGTCGGCTCGCACTGCTTAATGGGCGCATTCACTAGATTGAGAGTCAGCAAAACTTTTTCTACCAACTTCAAGAAACAAAAAAAAACATCTGCTGCGTTTTCTGATACCATTAATGATGAAAATTCAAAATAAGGAAAATTTTATTGGACATAATTAGTTATAAAATTAAATTTTATTTAATTTAATAACTAAATTACTTGTTCTTTTAATTAAAGTGATTTCTTAGAAGTTGGTGTCGTTAAACAGATGTTAAAAGCAAGTCCCATCCATCAAATCTATGAAGTCGTGTCGATCCGTGCTGGAAATATGAAACGGGGATCTCTTTATTATATCTATTACTGAAAAGTAAAATGGCATATCTTGTAGCATACTCCTATTTGACATAAAAATATCTGGTAATAAATCTCTAAGAATTGTAGTATTTTTCATCGGAAATAAAATTATCTGTGTAACGTTACGTTTTCAGCATGTGGTTTCTTACCAAATTTGTATCTTTATCCGCGGGCAGCATTTAATTTAATTGAACTTTTAACTCGAGATTTTATTTTATTTTTAGGCTTTTAGGCTTACATTTAATTTAACCTAAAATTTTGAATTTTACTTATGAAAAACACATAGAGATAACTGCAGAAAAGTGAAGCATTTTATTATCAACGTATTGTATAAAATGTATTCGCATAAAATAACGATAAAATAACAGTGATATTTCAGCTGGTAACTTGAAGCTAAATTTAATTTAACCACAAAGTTAAAAGTTAGAAATTAAATTCTTCTATAAACTTCACAGTTAAATTTCAATTATCCAACTTTTTAAATTGAATTGAATGTTGAAAAAAAATCTCTGCACCTATAAACTGTGGCGGTACATTACTATTTATACTTTCTCCCTGGCTTTTGTTCAGCTCGAATATGTAAGATGTGGTCTTAAATATGTCATCCATTTTCTTTATTCTATCGAGAAGTATTGATTATTTTACGGTCAGACGTCACAACATTGCGTTTTAGCGGCAGGTAAAATTTAATTTAATTGTTGTTGGAAGTTATTTTTTTCTGGAAACTTCCTTGTACGGTTTCGATTGTTTTCAATTATTTTATTTTTCGAGGAAGTACGTTGTTGCATTGCCGGGTGAATATCTCGATGACGGCTTAAAATATAGATATTGAACGTTAAGTGTTAAGTACTATTCTGAACGAGTCAAAAAAATCTAAAAAAAAACTACCCTCGCTCTACCTATCCCTTTTTTTTACATCCCACAGGTCCTGCTTGCCGAACTGAAGGGCACCGAGTACTACTACGCCGTCAAGTGTCTTAAAAAGGACGTCGTGTTGGAGGACGACGACGTGGAGTGCACGTTGATCGAGAGGAAAGTGCTCGCGTTGGGCACCAAACACCCCTACCTGTGCCACTTGCTGTGCACCTTTCAAACGGAGGTGAGCGAGTTAATTGAGGCTTCGCGTGACGCGGAACGCGCGTTTCGTCGCTCGTTTTAAATCCCGATGTCGGTGATTGATCGATCGGAACGACGCAAAAATGCGCTCTCGTTTGTCAAAGGACTGAAATAAAAGTGGGAGGAAATTCGGCCGCTTCACCGACGAAGGGGTGTCGTTTTCGATCGGTGTTTTTTCGTAAATGGCAGATCGATCTTTTAGTTGTCAATGTTTAGTTGAAACGTTGGTTCGAAATGGTAGATTTTTATTCGATTTGAAATTATTCAACTGTATTATTAATAATAACACGTAATTAAACCTAATAGTTTTTCCAATATTTCATTTTTTCTTAAAAAATACATACGTATTTCATTTTAGCGCTTAAATTGAAAATTCTCCACACGTGGTGAAAATAACTGCCAAATTTTAAATTTACAGAAAAAGTAAATAAAATTAATTATTCTTTTTCTGTACGGGTCCCGAATCACATTCACTATATCTTCTGATTGTATGGATATTCGTATAAACACGATCTTTAACATATACCGACAAAATGGTGTTAAATCACATGATCGAGAAGGCCATCCAATGAATCCGCCTCTGTGGGTAGTGATTATTACAAAATTCTCGCACTTCTAGGCGGTAGTGCGAAGGAAGGCTGAAACATTTGTAGGATCTCAACGTTTAATTATCTAGACCCGTGAAGTTGTTTTGTTTTATCCCACACCGCACATTAACTAGCCAATGGTTTTCTTTTCGCACTTACCGTACCCAGAATTTATTAAATGTTTGTTAATAATAAACGTTCTGACGATTAATTGTATCATTATTGGATTTTGGAATTGGATTGGAATTTGGATCGGCCTCTATGACGGTCTAGAAGTTCTTGGTGTACCAAATTAGCTAGCTACTTGACCGGCCTGGGGATCATTTTGAACTTGAAGTAAATTTTCAATTCTCTTTCGGTTTTTCATATTCAATACTACTACAAGTATCAAACCGTTCTATTAAATAATGAAGAGATTATCGTGTTGTTATACGTCTATTAGGCTATTTCGCCCTGTAAAGTCTTACTGCTAACAAAGTATTTTTTCCGGCCCCACCCAGTATATCGATATCAATTAATTCAGTTTTATAGAAAATCCATACTTTTTTTAAAAAAATTACTGGTACCACGATAAATTTTACCTATTTACTCCATTGTCAGGTAAAAATTTGAAAATGTCATTTTGTCATGGCAAACTAACGTTATGGCAATAGTTAATATCTGGAGATTTTTCATTCTATCGATCCCTCCCCGGTGCAACTTTTCCATAACTTCTTCTATTTATTTCAAAAGTTATGTTGATTTAGAGGCAATTACAGAGTCCAACTTACTAATTTACTAATAATATTTCAACGCTTCAAAACGAAAGTCAATAAATTGAATGTGCTGATTAGGTAAAACATTTTATCAAAACTCTCGGGGGTTTCATAGCAATCAGATGTCAGGAGAAAAGTTAAACCATAAGTTTAACCAAAACCTTTCGTATATTATTATATTGCCAGTTTAACTGTATATTTAAAATTTCTTCAAATATCATACATTTTTAATGTAACAAATGAAGTTTTGTAACAAGTTTAAATATTGTTACTTTTTTATAAATAAGGATTTTAAAGATTTTTTTAAAAAATGTATTACTGTGGATTTTCACTTTTGTCGGTTAAGCTGGGCGCGAACTTTCGTTTGGAACAGAAAAACCGCATCAAGGGACGCGGTAGCTTCGATTCGAAAGTTTCCCGGTGTCGAAAAGCTATTCGGAATATATGAATAAGACGCATTAGCTGCCGAGACTTTCGAACCGCGCGGTTTTCGTCTCTTCCGAACTTTGCTACTACTTTTTTTTTAGGCTTTGAACGCACGCAATTTTGTGTACAGAGCGGAAAAAATAAAGCGAAAAATACAATGTACAATACATTATTTGAAAAACTACGAACATTAATGTTGTTTTAGGGAAAGTCATTACCATTTCTTTATAATTATACTTCAGAAATCCTATAATTATTTGGCTATACCACAGACCTATTTGAATAATTATAAATGAAACAAAAGAAAATAAAAAAAGCTTTTTATTCATAGATACACACATAAAATCTGAATGATATAAAATTTAGAGTGGCAAAATATTATTAATACTTTCAGTTAATAGCAACTTGCACACAACATGTAATTCGTAAATTTAAAAACTATTCTGCGCAATATTGAAAACAATTTATAACTAAATGAAAATTTGACGAAACTAATTTTCTTCCGAAATTAGTGAAATTGCCCATAAAAACTTTTACAATCTGCCTCAAATTGATTCATTAGAGTCACTGCAAAGAAAGAGAGGTAGCCCCCAATCTCGCGAGTTCTGGACTAAAATTATTAAAAAAAAAAACGTGCTGAAAATTGAACTAAGGAATTTTGTTTGCAATATTATTTCATTAATTTCACATAAAAACCTTTTGCTTTGACTGGGAATACCCTACAGTGTGGGTTTATATTGAGTTATTCTATGAATCGATTCATTCAAACAGGACTTTTATTTGGCAGTAAAGTATCTAACAGACAAAATAATGCGTTTTGGATTCTCTCTGCTCGTCAGTTATGTGTTTTGTTTTGTCATATAAATCCAACCATAGTAAACGAGCTGTTTACATGTCTACTCCGGCCTAATTCTAGATTTTCCATAACTAAAAATTAATTGACACGTTCCCAAAATAAATGAATACGAAATAGTGTGTTTGGGTTTACGTGTGTGTGTGTAATTTGGTTGCTTTCGTCGCAGAATGTCAGAAGCTAAAAACCGAGGCGCTTTCAGCTTTTCGTTTGCCATTAGCCATATGTACTTTCGTTTGCAGTCCCACCTGTTCTTCGTAATGGAATACCTGAACGGCGGAGATCTCATGTTCCACATTCAGGTGGAGAGAAGGTTTTCCGAGGTGAGGGCCCGATTCTACGGCGCCGAAATCGTTTCGGGGTTGAGGTTTCTGCACAACAAGGGCATCGTCTACAGGTGAGTTTGGTTTCAATTTGATGTCGATTAAAATTTCGGTTGTTCGTTTTGAAGTTTAACTCTTAGGCATGCACAGAGTGTTTATACTCAATGGCTGTTATATTCTGCGGGAATCAACGATATACGAGGTGTGTTCAAAAAGTAGGGTGACTTTCAAGTTTTATCAAATATTATTTATTTATTTATCAAAAATAAAATTGTTCGCTTCAAAGTAACCCTTCTCAGCTTCTTCTTCCAATCCTCGAAACACTTCTGGTATAGACTTGAGTTCTTCCAGCGATTTGTTCATTATCTCATCAACGTTCCAAACCTCTCTCCTACTATAGATTTGTCTAGATTCTCGGATTTTTCGTTGTGAGAAAAAGTGATTAAAATTTGATGTCCGGTTTCGTGATTGCGTTCGGTAACTGCTGATGAGGTTATTTGTTGTAGTGTTACAGCTCTTCCATGTTCTTTGAGCTCAGTTGATATTTTTTTACGTCGTGTCTCGCCAATGTATTTTTTGCCGCATATGCAGGAAATGTTATCTCAAACGGTATTTTGTCTCTGATGGATCGAGGATGTTGAGAAATTTTTGGACAAGTGGTAAATTTGATTTTGACGTTTTATTTCTTAAGAATTTTTGTGGTCAGTGATGTATGTAAGGAAAACAGTAATTTGTGTTTCGTAAGAAGTCCGTAGAGATGAGGAATTTTTTATAGAGAAGAAGCCTTATTAACAGATTTGAGGTTGCGTTCTATAGATGGCGTAGGATCTTTTTTAAGTTGACGATAGGATTCGTCTGTAAGAACATCCTGCAATTTCCTTTATCTGCTAGGAAGTTTGGATTTTTTAAGATAGACTCGACATTTGTAATGTTTTCCTCTTTTGGGATAATACGTGGGTCAGGAACCTTTTGCAATAACTGTGATGATACATTTACCACAGTGTTTGATAGTTGAGAAGATGATTTCATAAGTTAGTTTTTCAAATTTTTGAATGCCACTTTGGGTAGAAAATTAATTAGGATTTTCAGTTTTGTCTTGTTTGAAAGGGCATCGAACTCGGATGGGGAACAGATGGAAGAGATTTATTAATTTGATCTATTGCTTTACGGGTAACTAGATTTGCAGGATCTGCGGAAACGGCTGTCATAAACCAATAAACAAATGAAATGAAAATCTGAACATTTTTAAATTTAGAATTTTGATATCGCAATCGTTTAAAAACTGCCTTTTTAGAGATATTTTATTTGCTCGTCGCACGAAATTCATATCGGCTACCTCCCGCCTCCCGCCGATATATAATAAATTCCCGATATAAATGCGGAATATTCCTGGGCGTCCCGACGATTGCCGCTGATATTGCTTCGAATTATGCCGGAAAATGGGTCGGGCCCGTCAAATTCCGATCGTGTCATTCAATCGGACCGGAGAGCCTTAAAAATTGACACTTACGAGCTTCTTTACGATGGCTTTTACGACGGGTCGGGATTACGCGGGGGGCGGAGTCGGGAGGATCTTCCGTGCCGTCGCCGATAAAGTCAAATTGCCGCCCGTATTATGTTGGATAGATGGTTATTTATTTAGTTCCCGGACATTTAAAAAAAAATGAAAAGTTCTTAAAAAATGAGACCAGAGAGGGAAACATACATTTTTTTGCAAATTCCTCCGAAGAAAGGGAAAAAAATTCTTGAAATTTTTAATATATATTTTGAATATAATATTGATTGTCGCAGAATACATACATTGAGCATAAAACTGATCTAAAAGATTTGCCATTTTTGCGGGTGAATTACTGACCGTAAACGGCAACAGATGAGTAATTTAATGTAAACAGCATCGTAAATTGTATCGAAAGCTATAGTTTTGTAGGGAGGTAAATATCATTGGTAATCGTTATTACTGGTACACATTTTTGTTTCCCAAATATTGCGGTTTGAAGTTCGGTGCGACGCGAACACACTTTATACAGGGTGAACCGGATGCTGCGATTTCGATAAATATAAAAATGAACGTTCTTTACGTCGTGCGATTTCGATAATACCCCCCGGACGTGGGTTTCCGCAGGGACCTGAAGCTGGACAACATCCTGCTGGATTTCGACGGACACGTGCGCATCGCCGACTTCGGTATGTGCAAGCTGCAGATCTTCCTCGACAGGATGGCGGACACATTTTGCGGCACTCCGGATTACATGGCGCCGGAGGTGAGTCTACTGACGTTACGTTGTGTGTTTTGCGAAAATATTCTCCTATCGAAACGAATTTTCCCGACTGTTTACCAACCCGACTAATAATTCGATCAAAGAAATGTTTCGGAGGTTTCGGAGGACCTTAATGATAGATTTATTGTTTCTAAATTAAAACGAAACGTGAGAAACGAACTAATTTCAAGACGAATTGCGAAAGAATAATAAGGTAGTGGGTAATATGTTTGTTTATACCACATCGACATTGACCATCCATTCGCTATTAAAACTTCTCAATCCAAGAACATTTAGTAGACAACAGACTACTGGTTTTAAATTATACAATTTGTAATGAAGTTTCGCAACCTTCAAAGAAAATCTATTGAAAACATTTGGGAACTCGACGAAGGCGGGCATGGGGTCTTTAACATATCTTGGTCCAGATGAACTTTCGGTCCAGAACGATCGACCGTCAAATCTATCGCTGGTTAGCCGATATAAATTAGCTCTCCACGTATTCCGTGCCGAATACTAACTTACAGATCAATCTCTCCTCCTCAACACAAACCTCAATTCTTAAGCTCCAATCAATAACGAAGTCAGTTTTCGGTAATCGTTCACTAAGGCAGAAATCTAGATTTTTAAAAAACGTTAGAAACAAAAGATGTCTCACGGTACTAAAATTGACACTAAGTTATTAGTAATAATCAATAATAATATGGAAATAACAAATAATGAAATCAATATAATAAATCGAGATAAATTTAGATTTCCCTTTATATGTCCTTCGCTATATAAAGTTACTATTCTAGAAATAAATACGATGTATCCTTTAAATATACACTAATATACAAATTAGAGGGACAGAATTAAAATGTAAAAATAAAAATGATAAAACTTTATCTTTCATTAATAAATTAACTGTAAAGAAAATAAATATAATAGAGAAAATTAAAATTCAAAATGAAAAAATCTTACAAATTTTCACTACTTAAAACGTTTCCGTTTTTTTCATTCCACAAATTAATATTTTAAGAGTGTGGTTATACTAATTCTATTTTTTTTCTCGAAAGGAGCTCGTTTCGTGTTTTTTTTAACGTCCACATGAAGTGTCCCGGCGGTTTCGTTATAAAAAGTGTCAGGAAAGCCGAGGTTTCCGATAAACCGGTTAGCCGGAACTGAAATAACGACATGGACCTCTTTCAAGCCTTTCTTCGATAAAAATTCATCAATTACGCCGTTACCGGTGTATTAAAACTCGCCGATCCACGAAGCGATTGGAAAATAATCCGCGCCGGAGACGGAAAACCCCATTATAAGATATATATCGGCAAATCGTAAAGGAAAACGTCCGGAAATTGAGGCAAAAATAAAAGATCGGACGTCCGCGTGGGAAAACCGGCCATTCGTGCGCGGCGAAACAATAAAGATTAAACCGGTATTTACGGCGTCGGGACGCGCCGCGTTGCGATTTCCCGACTTCGCGCACTCGTTTGTCTTTATTCGGACCGAAATGAAAAATCTAAGGCTCTGTACGGACCTGCACGACGTCGCGTCACACAAAAAACGGCGCAAGCATAAAGGTAGGATAGTACGACCGCCGTTCTATCGGACTCATTAAGGGTGTGCCACAATTTTAATATCGGGACGCGCAAAACATCACTAAATTATATATATATTATTTTTGGAACATCTCTCTCTCTCTCTCTCTCTCTCATATCCATCAATTTTGGATCAAAATCCTTAACCCTTAAAATTTTGATCCACTGAACCTTTGCTGTTCAATCTGCGTCAATGTTTTATCTATATAATCACTACAGCGTTAGTCTTTCTCTTCAGGTCAGCAAAAATTGATTGTGCATTTGTTTTTCCACTGAGTTACACATGAAAAATTTGTTGCCAATTCCATAACCAGCAAATGCACATTTGTTACACCGTTCAAACAGACTATTCCTATACGATTTACCGGTACCTTGTCATTATTAGCGACAATTTCATTCAGCTCGCTCGATTTTGCATGATAATAACAATATAATACATGATAATTTGAATCCAAGTGTTTGCGCCGTCTCATGTACGTCAATGAGTCACAATTATCCTTTGTTCTTGCATCTATCGGTCGTTGGAGACGCAGAGAATGAAATGAAACTTTAATACTAACTGCTATTGTCATGCTTATCCGAGTTCGTTTTAGAGGTCCGTTCAGTATGTTCACAACTTGTTAGATGTGATACCTTAAGAAATACGACCGTAAAGAATAATCTTTTTCTTCCTTTGCCAAGAATGATTCTACCCATCGTTGAAGCGGGAGAGGAAGAGCAGTTTCATTAGCTGCCGATGGATTTGAAACGATTTCGCCTTTTTTGGGATAATACGTGGAGCAAGGACGAAGTTTGAACCTCGAAGGGTTTGGTGGCTCCGCTTGGGTTGAGGTCGATTTTTCAAACTTTATAATGTGATTCTGGGTAGAAGCACCCTGTCCCAGTAGATTTTCATAGCGAGCTCGTGGAGCTTATTCCAACCGGTGTTGTGGCACGAATTTTTTCAGATCATCAAAGGACAACACTACAACCAGTGCGTGGATTGGTGGTCCTTCGGCGTGCTCCTCTACGAAATGCTACTCGGTCAGTCGCCGTTCAGCGGCTGCGACGAAGACGAACTGTTCTGGTCGATTTGCAACGAGAAACCGGTCATTCCGAAATTTCTGTCCGCCGAGGCGAGTTCGGTCCTGCTGCAGGTGCGTCCGTCTACCGGTCGTTTTCCTTTTATATCCCTCGTTCGGATTTCAGTTTTTAGAAAAGGACGCGAACAAGCGACTCGGCAACAGGTTCTCGCCGTACGGCGACATCCAAGATCATCCGTTCTTCAAGTCCATCGACTGGGCGGCCCTCGAGGCTAGAAAGTTGGAGCCGCCGTTCAAACCCAACTTGGTGAGCGATCATTTATTATTCTTCTCTTACGTCGACACCCCCAACCCGACACCAGAGAGACCCGCACACCTGACACCATTTGGACCCCCAAATCGGCCACCATTTAGATCTGATTTAGACTGGTGGATATGGTTTTCATGGTGTTGCAGTCGGGTATAAACTTTAAATAGAAGACCTCATACATCATACCCATTCTGAAAGTGCATTTTAAGGCCAGTAAACATTTAGATTCGAAACTTATAAGATATCAAAAAGGTACGCGGCATTATCTAAATTTAAAAAGAGTAATATATAATAAAAGAATGTGTATTAAAGGGGGAATATAGTGCAAACATATGTAATTTTGTATAATCTGTTTCCGACTTAATCCCTGATAAGGATATAATTTCATATTATACCATTACCGCGTACTTTTCCTTTTATCCCTGTAACTGGAACTGACGTTTTGCTATTAAAACCAAGGCAGTAGATTGCGAGGATATTAATATTTCTACAATCCGCGTATCTCCCACATTTTGCCTCACGTCAACCATGTTATAAATTATTGCCTAAAATATTCCATTTTCCCCGATCTGTGCAAAATGACACCCACTTTTGCAAAAGGACTTTTAGATCTCTCGAAACTTTTTGATACTCGCCCAAATTTTTATTTCAATGTTATATTTTACTGTGGACCATTTAGGAAAAAAAATTCGGGCTTCCAAATTTTTCAATTTATATATCAAAATCGCAAAAGCATCAAAATTCGCGTTTTTGTTTGTGTTCAAAAGTTAAATTCAAAAGTTGTCTGCAGTAAAATGTTCTATAATTTATTTATATCATTTCAATATATAGAGGGCGCTCAAATAAAGTTACTTCAAATTTAAAAATTCTCTTGCTGAGGCTCTGAAGATAAACTTTGGAGAGAAGGCGTACATTTCATGAAGAAAATTTGAAAGCATTTTTAAATTTATTAAAAATAATATTGACCTTCTTGCGGAAGTGGTCGTTCAAGTGTTGATATCAGTGAATTTTTAAAAAGACAATGACACCACCTGGCCAGCAAAGGGCCTGCATTTAAACCCATTGGACTTTTTTTTGTGGTGCGTTTAAAAAAAGATAATATACATAAAAATTTTTGCATTACAAGGACAAATTCAGGATGCAATGCTACGAACTATAAATTAATATAAAATCCTTAATTTTATTTTTCAGAAGGTTTGTCAAATACAATAACCTATAATTTTTACAGTATTCTAAATAAATGATTATCGATTGAGCAATTTCATAAAAAAATATTAATTAATTGATTTACTAAACAAAATAAAAAACTTACGCGCCCTCAAAAGTTTTAAAACTAAAACCACTCGACGAACAAATTAAAGAAATTTCTAGGTATAACACGATCAAAAATATAGTGCTTTGACGTTTGAAACATCCCAAGAGATGTTTATTCTGCATTAGGAAGGTCTTGCTTGAGACGGACCGTAACGATTATTTGTAGAAACTTGAAATTTTTATTTGGAACGTAAATGGACCGTTTTAAATTTGACATCAAGTGATATGTATCGTTATTAAGAGTTTAATCTAAATTGCAAAATGTTCGTATATATTAAAGAGGTATATGATTGTGATCCTTCCGGTAAGCAGGTGTTTATGTACTTGATTCTGGACCTTTGACACTGCGCGGCTGTTGTCACTGGATATTTCAAAGGGTAGGGGTAACTACCTGTACTAATTTTTACTTTTTTTTTTTACTAATTTTACTTTGTACTAATTTTTTCACGTACATGTTTCAAGAATTGCCCGTCGAAAAACATTGAAAACATAATTATATCCAGCTTGTTAGTGTAGGTAGATCAATTCCTAATACGGTTCTGGAATGGATACGGGTAAGGGTCTGCTATATTTCTGGTCGAAGTATAACTGTGCGTTAACTGATTTGAAGCTTTATAAAATGAAAATTTATGCACTTACGCACTCTTTTTACATATCTCCTCTAGGAACAAATACAGTTTAAATCTTACAAAAAAATCCTGGGGGAAAAGAGTTTTTATAAAATATGACGGATATAATAGCGCACATTGGAAGTAACTCATTATTAACTTATTTCTTCGTATTTGAGACGTCTGTTTCCTCCATATAGAGAAGGACGGTGCATTTCGCAAAAAATAAAAAACGGCAACTTTAATGTCGATAAATTGCCGCTTTGTACGTTGCGACGGGTGGAATAAAATATTGGCCCCGCGTCTCTCTCTGTAGTAGTCTAGTCTCTCGCACGGAGCTAAATGTAAATTTTCTGTTTTGCTTTGTTTGCGTTTGAGATTCCTTCGCCACGGTTATTATTAAGAAATAGACTGCGATATAAAATATTTAAAAAACTTTGATTTTAGAATATTTAATATTTAACTGAGTCGAAAAGATAGAGAAAAGAAAAATGTGTGCAATCTGAAATGCTCACATATATGGTGTGTTCAAGATAAGAAGATCTGTCGTGGGGATATTAGAATGGTCAAATTGGAAAAAAGTTGGAAAAATGTAAGGTTAACAACGAGCTCGAGAAAACAAAAAATGGCGAGGGAATTTGAAGAAAAATGAATGAATGAAAAAGCGGATAAATATATTTTAATTATAAACAAGCTTTATTTTGCATATCGTATCATATGTTTGACCACTAATCTTACTAGTTTGTTGTCATTAAGAGTTATCAATACCGGCTGTCCGGAAAATATAGACTAAAATAAGTTTTTGCCACTGTCCTTCATTAAATGGAACTTTTTTGTCAAGAACTGCTTGTATTTAATGTAATCGTCCAAACTAGCCGACGTTTAAAATAAAAACTCTTATATCTCTTAGACAATATAGAATTTTTCATTTTAAATTATAATGAACATCATATCTAACAAATGGCCTTTTGAATTAGAAAATCATTTTTTTATCACGAAATTTAAGACGTTGGCATCGCGGCTTTATGTGAATGTTTTTCTTAAAATCGGTACCTCATGTGAGTCTTGCTTTTGATATTAATACGGGCACTTTGCAAACTCAACTCGTTCAATGGGCCTTGAAAAAATATATAATAATATGGCGGCAAACATTTGCTGAAGAAGTTTGATTTATTTTTCTGGAAATTCGCTTCCCGCTGTTTTTTTTTTCTTTTTTCGCGGTAATGGAAACGGCAGACCGGAATAACAAACCCGACACCTTCGGAGAATTTAAAAGCAATAGCCTCCGGGGCAACGAGTGAAGCTAAAGGCTCCCAGGGGACGAAGAATCGTAATGCCGAACGACGCGGGATAACGTGCCCCGGTCGATTTTTAAAAATCAACTTCAAAATGTTTTAAAAAAATTGACTCCTCAAGTAGGTTTTGGGATGGTTTTTAATGGTAATGTAGTATTTTCATTACAAAGTGGAAAGTTGGTAAGTTGCTCGACGCCAATGTCCTTTTGAACAAAATTAAATAAGGGAAAAGTAATGTTAGTTATTAGAAATATATATTTTCTTTAATGGAGTACCAGTAAAAGGTCTTATGAGGTTTAAGTTTTGAAATAAAGATTGCTTAATCAATATATTGGACAAATATTTAGGAGTGCCCGTTTTACCAAGTTTATAAGCCAAACAGAGAGTCTGAGCTTCAAAAATCAAGACCACCAGTCCTCCAGTAGTACGCAAAATATAGCAATATGTGAACGGAAGCAGTGAGAACTTACCACGTTAACGAAAAATCCACAGGGTTTGGTTTTGCTGATCGGACAGTTGATTTCTTTAGATACCCGAAAGTCAAGTATTCGAAAGCTTCCATCTAAAAGTGTATTATTCCGTGAATTGCTTAGTGTGCTAAGAGAACCGGAAGTGCGAGGGATATTTTAAAATTGACATTTGTTTTTTAAAATTATTTAATTTTTTTATATGACGACCAGAGCTACTATAGTAGTCCAAGTATTTTGAAAAGAATAATTACCTACAGTTTGGCCAGTTTAAGAGGAACCTCAGGTTATAATATTATAAAAATTCTTTATTAGAAAAAAAATAAATGAATACATATTATTTCATTTAATGATCTTCATATAATTAATTTTAATCTCCTAGAGTTCGCCGAATTTGTAAATCTAGATTGGGCCGCACTGTATACTAATGATAATATTATAATTCCACCATTGGTTAAAAATCGTAATCAGAGAATATTTCAATTGTTTTCGTCACTCGTATTCATAAAATATCCCTTTAAATCTGAATAAAAATGAACGACAAATAGAAACTTAACGCTCGCCTGAAAGATTAAATTGGGCCCGCCCTTTTTTTCATCGCCCCCAATTTATGACGCGGAATCCTGCAAAAATGAAAACGTCCACGCACCGCGCGCGCCTCCACCCGAAAACTCGGCCGATAAATTTTGATTAAGCCCGTCCCCATATTTCTGTATTATATCAAGTCCCGTTGACAGTCGTAACGCAGATAGGCGGCTCTAAAACACAACTTTCGGCTCTAAATCAAAAACTCGCGCACCCCCCCCCCCCTCCGACAGCGGACGTTTTCAACGAAATTGCTTCTATCATAGATGGAAGATATAGATGGACAAATTTCGAATTCTTGGAACAATAACGCACAATAAAAAAGAACTTAATTTCTCAGGAGAGATATTTTAAATTTTCAATTAATGGTAATTAAAAATGATTGTAGAAGAAACAAAACAAAAATCTGCAATTTTCTTTTTAAATTTTAAAGAGGTTTAAACGAACAACTAAATATGATAATAGAAACGATATTCATCAAGTTTTTAGAGATTTTAAATATAAAAAGGTAAAGAGAAACTAAGAACTAAGTACGCAAATAAAATTTTAACAGTATTTCAAATTTATTAAGAGTAAAATGTTAAAATGGCTTTGCAAGAATGAACATCTCTGAAATAAGTAACTTTTTCAAATACATAATCAGGAACACGCTGCCGTTTTAAAAATATATACATATACATTAAACATTATTTTTGGTTTTACAGACAAGAAAGTAAGTACACTCGGCATGCTTTGCGGTATCTGCAATATTTTGTTAAATATCGAAACATATACACCTGAACTGAATGTGATCCTCTTTCTCAACACTATGAAATAAATTTACAATCTTGCAATGTAATAAACAAAAACTGAACATAGTAGGTATTTATTAAAAAAAAAAACAGAATATTCTCATAAACAACTATAAAAAATAATTCACCAATAAAAAAATAGGAAAGAGTCATTTTTGTGAGAACTTTTGATGTTAACTTTGGCTTTATTTCTATTATGTTCTACATCAATCAATCAATCGAGAAGTTTTCATCGCTGAATGATTTTTTATAAACGATGCTTTGCTCATGTTCTTTTACAACTTTAAAAGCTCTTGGTCCCGAAACCGGAACTGTCTGTCGTCCAAATTTCTATGCCTTTTAAATTCATGAAGCCTTTATGGTCCATTTCTACAACTTATTCTAAACATACAAGCGATCCTCGATACAAATACGATTCTTTCTCTAAAGGTTGATATCGCTAAATAAAACCAACCAAAACTAACGAAAAAGCAAATTCCTTCATCATTTAGTGAAATTATTGAATGTCTCCTGTCTCAGTCGGCCACAGCTTACTGCATTAATCAAATGTTCTATTATTTTTTTCTATTTATTAGCAGATTTCCGGATACTAGGTTCATTCCTGCAATTTGCTTACCCGTCGGCTTTCCTACACCACACATTCCCGCAATCCCAATTTCATAGTCTTCGCATTGTGGGTGATGTTTCAGTCGCCACATTTCTACACCTATTGGTTATGTGGCTTGCAGTGACAAGCGAGTCCGTCTCCAATTCCACTTTGCCATATCATTTTCACCAGGGACTAAGGTGTTCGACTGCCATTTTGTATTTTTTACTTTCACTGATTTGTTATGCAATTTTAAAAAATCAATAATATTATCGGAATATTAAAGAGTGGTTTTCTAATTTACCACGTTATTTAAGTTTCTGATTTAACCATATTAATATATTATTTTTAAAATGTATATGCGTTTGTACCTTTTTTAGAAAATTTAGCCTTCCCATGACTTCGCTTCGTTCACTTTTTTCTCTCTTCTTTCCACTTATTTTGCAGACATTCCCCTCGCAGCAGCCAGATGGTATTTTTGTTTTTTCCATTTTCCAGCAACACCCGTTGGACACCCAGTACTTCGACAAAACGTTCACGGTCGAAAAAGCGAAGCTCACGCCCATAGAGACGACGATCCTGCAGTCGATGGACCAGAGACAGTTCCAAGGGTTCAGCTACACGAACCCGAACGCGACCGACAAATGACGACGCGGTTCCGCGTGACGTAACAAGCATGGTGGCCGCCGGGCCGGTGATTAGACCTCAGGGTTGGGAACGCGGAGGGGAGAGGCGCCGTAGACGGGCAGATTTCTTTTGATAGTTTGATATATTTCCTAGGCTAGGGCATGTTATATAAATATATAGGTTTAAGATTTGTTCTCTTCCATTTGTGTTACGTGTCAATAAAATAAAATAAAACATTGAAGTACAAATTGAAAAAAGCGAAAATAAAACGTTGGAAATTATTTTGACAGGCTTTTTATCGTGACTTTCTCTCCGAACTTTAAAACAAAAGTAATATCCTGATAATATCGTTAAAACTGTAGGCCGGACTAAAAAAAAAAAACAGGAGTTCAAATCTATTCATAAACGAATGAAAATGTCATTGTGTTTTGAAATTGTAGCAGTGCCGTAACACTGACATAATAAATATTTATTATTATGTTATTACATTATAATAATAATAAACATCCTTTATATACGTTTTGGATTTTGTTCTCTTAGAAAAAAAAGTACAAATCGCACTAAAGAAAAAAATCCTTTTCCCGGAATTTCTTTGTGATTTCGGTATTCTATTAAAAAAAAATCTGTCCGCTAACACGTCAGTAACCATCTAGACTTCGCTAGTGTTGAAATTCTATGTCGAATGGAGGCTTCAAGACGGTGGCGACTGTCCATCCGTTCGGATATACTTTCGGCTTGATTTTCTGAAACGGACGGTTCTTCAGAGGGGAATTTACCTCTACCTCTTTTTCGTCGGCACTCACTTTAGCTTTCCTGTACCGTCTGGTCATTATATCCAAGCCGCTCTCTAACACCTTGGTACTTGCTTTGAGGGACTTGTCGCGTCGACGCCATCGCGCGATGTCTTGATCAAGATACTTCCTTTCCAGGAAAGCCGCTACGACCGTACGTACAGTGAAATAGTAGAAGATTTCCACCCCGGACAGGAGACTGAATCCCAAAAACAGACCGGCGATTCCCCCGAAGGACACTGCAACGATCGTTTTTAAAAATTTTCGAAAATAAACCGTTTATCGACACAGAGAAAAATGTTTGCGTGGAACTTTTCCAAACAAACGCGTTATCCTAACGGATATTCATCCGTCTAGCATCTCACCGTAGCCGAAGTTTTTGAGGTTGATGGATGGATATACCTGTTTTCATTTCTCGTTAATTGTCCCAAAGTTGACCAGAGATTAACTGCTTGCTTATCAAATCATCAATCAAATCAGTTTGGGATGACGAAAGAAACTTTTTGAGGCTTCCATATCGTCAGGTTTATAGACCAAGGACCTCACAAACAAGTCAGCAGCAGGAATCACCTATTTAACCTCCTCAAATGAGGATACCTGAGTTTGAAAGAGGTGGTCACATGTTTTCTTTTGGCAGGTAATATAAATACTAATATCAGGTATATACCATTTTTACAGCTACAGCGTTGATTTCCAAAGCTTTAAGTCACTTTAATTAGTGCTACTGGCTTCCGTAATGGTGAAAATATTAATTGAAACTACGATTACATTCTCTACAAACGAATGGCATAGAAACACTTCAAGAAAGCTTGTATACTCCTGCTTTTTTATTTCCTTTCAGTTTTTAAATTAAAATTACTATTACTATTATTAGTAAATAAACTAAACTTAAGTTAAATTTGAAATAGAAAGTCATCGATGTTTTAATTTTTTAATTTAATTTTTTCCATCGTTTTTGTTGGATTTTAATCTGTCTCTTATCTTTGTTTTGTTAATAATTTTTGTATGTCTATGTGTTCGTGTGGTTTCATTCCCTCGTCTCACTTTTATTTCATTTACGCCACTTTGTTGGTTCGACTATTCTTGCTAGCTTTTAGGCTGATTATTTATTGGTATTTTGTATTTGTATTTTTTTCAGTTAATTTAGACTTTTTTTAAAAATAATATTTGATTAATAGAAAAAAGGTTCTTAAACAATATTTGTATTGTTTTTTCTATGGGATTGTGTCATGACGTTATATTAGTTTTTAATCATATACGTATATTGTTATATATTTATTATCTATTATTTACCTTACTTTTTTTAGTTTGAAAAAGATACATTGTTGCAGAAACATGTCACTCTGCGTATAAATTTAAGGGTTTTAAGTTATTTCTTGGTTTTTCTTACCTAACAAATCCACCCATCCGAAAAGAACTTCGCGTTTATACCTGACCATCGGCCATGAAGCGAATTCGACCTCCATTTTGAAGCGCTCGCCTGTCGTATTTCTCCAATCGCCTTCCCTGTAATACCGCAAACTCCTTAGAGGCAGGATCTCAGAAACGACGAATAAAATTAAAGATGGCTGTAAGAAAAAATATTTTTACGCAAATATTAATCCTCAATCCTTAATCTAGACTGCTGAAACCTTATTAAAAAAGTTACAACAAGTAACTTTTAAACCTCCCTGAACTCATAGTACGACTAGTAACGACCTTTAAGGTCTCACATGCTATAAAAAATCTTTAAAAAAATTTCCATCTGAAGTGTAAAGCAAGTCAACAATTTAAAATGAGTTTAAAGAATGACGAAAAAAATATAAATTTTTTTTAAACACCTCATTCTTCAACTTTTTTTTGTTAATAAGAATAACCTAAAAGCAATAGTTTCAAATAGTTCAAATTTCATTCCACAAGAAAAATCTCGAAGGTGGAAAAAAAGATGATACGTGCTGAAGATTTTTCTCGGATGCTATTAGCTGAACTGTAAACTACTAGGACGACTGAAAACTATACCAAATTCTAGTAATGAAGACATTGAAGACAGAAAGAAGGGCGAAATAAATCGCGAAGTAATAAAAACTGGTATATTACAAACATAATAAGAGTTGATTTTCGTAAGATCTTTTAGAAAAAATAATAATACATATAACTTGCCATTTAAGAAAATCAAGATTTTTCAATTTAAAATTATCCAAATATATTCGTATATTTTGCGCACTCTGTAGCATCTAATTCAAATTCAAAGGGGCTGTGGTTTTCGAATAATAAACAGTACCTAAAGTTAATCACGGGGTCGGTGGTAAAAGCGCTATATTTCTGGACGAAGTATAACTATCAAAATTTGAGGATTTTTTTTTTTTGCTTACGGCGCAGTAGTTAACTTCTCGACCTCGTAGACGGTGTTGGCACAGCCGAGCTGACAGTTGCACCTGTCGATATTTTCTATTTGCGCGATGTGCGTCGCGACGCATCGCAACTGATGCGGTCGACAGCGGGGGGCGTTCCCGTAGTCGGGATAGAAATGCGGGACGCAGGCGCACGCGTCCCTGACGTTTTCCAGCCGGCACTGGATCGCGCACGCCGTGTACGTGTAAATCTCGTCGACTGGAAACGCCATTTTTGTCGAATTTTCTGATAGGTATAGTGCATTCGCAAATAAACGGTTCTAAGCCGACGACCAATTTTCAAAAGAAGCACTACACGCGATTATTTAAAGCGTTTTTCTTATTAATAAGTAGGATATTTTACTTATTTTTATGTTTCTATCACATACGGATTGAGTTTTTTAATGTTTAGCTCACAGTGATCTCGGAAACTATGTTTGTAAATGTTTTTTTATTGATAAGTATAAAATTTTAATTGATTTTATGTTTCTATTACGTACAGAGTGATTTTTTTATGTTTAGGTAAGTGTACTTCCATTTTTTTTTTGAATGAGCGAAAACGTTTATTTGCGTAGGGACTATACACAGACACGCGACAGTACCTTCGAGTTTGATCTCGTCTTCAAACACGCACCGCCTCTGTTTGACGGACAGCTGCCTCGTGTCGGCTGTCGTGTAAGTCTGCTTGACCGAGAAAAATATCTTGTTCACTTTGAAGTCCCAGACGAGTTGCGGCTGAACGTCGGCGCTTAGCATCTCGTCGGAGTTTATGATGTAAATCTAAACCGTTTCCGAAGTTTAGAAAAAGTTTTTTACGATTACGATCAACGAGAAAAGACGAACCTCTCAATTAAAGCCGTTACGTTGTTACTTCATTTTTAAAACGAGTTTAAATTCAGCGGAAACTTCTTTAGGCTTTAGGCGATCAAGGCAAGGATTGCATAGAAGGATTACACAGGCCAACCAAATTTTTGTAAGATATTTGTTTTAAATGCCCAGATACGTTTTGCAATTAGTGTGATGCTTTTGTGGTCAAGAAATGTAGACGTATAATTACACACCCGTACCAGTTTTTCTTAACTTGAAATAGATGTGATGTCGATGATATATAGAATATTATTTTCACAATGGCTTAGTGAGAGACTTAGATCTTAAAATCTCACATTTCAGAAAGCGTGAGGCAGAATATATGAGCTGCTGTGAATAAAGTGGTTCACTTGTCTATTGCACCAATATTCCTAATTTGAGAGAGATTTGTCAAATTTTGAAGAATATCGTTCTCTGAACAGATTGCTTGTTACCCCTGAGAAATGTCACTGTATTTTGTTTACAAAAAATACCACAATTGCAAATTACCCTAGGTAACTACAAACTGAACGTTTCGGACTCTGTAAAGGATGTGGGTATTGAGACGCTCGTAGAAAACATTGTTCAAAAGGTTCTAAAGAGTCTCGGATACATTCTACGGGTGATTAAAGGGTTTAATAATAAAAAATAAATTATTTATTTTCATTATTAATTTAAATATATCGAACGGATGGAGAGTGTACAACTGAAATTTATAAACGCCATAAATTATAGATTTAATTATTAATAATTAAAATCGTAGAACAAATTTTGATTTACTATTTCTGTATAAAGTTGAAAACGATTTGATTGAATCTCCTTTCATACTCTTCTAACTCTCCAATTATCAGATGTACCCGTACTTTTAACAGAGTAGACAACGTATTTCCGGATCTTGATCCATTTGCTCCGAGCTTTGAAGCCCTTAAATGTCACTTAAGAAGGAATACCCATTAACATACTGTAATAAAAAGCTATAATTAGTTCCTAATTAGAATTAGCTGGTAACAAATAATTAAAACTTGTCTTTTTAAATTAAAACATAGCAAAGCCTTTCAGTCAGAGCAATCGACAGATATATTTTGACCTGTAGATGTCTGAAACGCGCCTAGAAAGGAATTCAATATACAGGGCGTTCTATTTAGAATAAGAAAGTTATCGCTCATTCACGAAAACAAATATGATTCCGTTATGCTGTTTTTAATTTTTTTGATGTTTTTTGGGATTCTGGGATATGGTCCCATCTCATAATAAGCGCTCGTATATTATTATATTATTTCTAATGAAATTATATGGTATTGAATTTTCATTTGCTTATATTTTCGTTTTCGTTGAGAAAAAAAAAACCGGCGCGCCACTGAAACCCATCAGTTTCCCCGGCGCGGCGATTACGAAGCCGCGGTAACTTTCGCACGGCGAAACGGCTTTCTTCGAAACAGATTTGCGCTAAAACGGGCACGGGCATGATAAAAATTTCATGAAATCCCGCCCACCTTATGTAATTTTACCGCCTCGCCCCAAAACCTCCGTCCCAGAGCCCCACGACTTATCCCTCGGCGTTGCCTTTTGAAGGAACCTGATAATCGATTCCGCAATTTGAGTTTTTCCAAATTCAGCTGCGTGGTCTTCTTCTAATTTTTGCTACGACTGCAGGGGTCTAAGAAAAGGATCATTTGACAATTTTTCAAAAACATACAGGGTGCGCCGTAAATTAAAAGAAACTGAAAAATGGGTATCACTATTAATGAAAATTGGCGATAACTAAAGGACCGTGTTTAAGATGTGAGTTTATTTTACAATGGCAATAAACCTCGCATACACAGCTTAGGGTTTTCACCTGTTGTACAGGGTGTTAGCGATATTTCGAATAATATTAAAAAACGTAACCGTTCATCCGATCGGCAAATTTCTTTAACTGGGAGACGCGGAGGATCCAGTGCTATAACTTTTATTTCAAGCATTTTTTCGATTATATACAGGGTTTTTAAATTATAAGCAAAAAAAAAATTGTTCTTTTCCAGGGTAAATTATTAACTGCAAATCAAAAATCATAAAAATAGTGCTACAATTTTTGTGTTTGCGGTTTTCGTCTATCACACACACTGCTCGAGACATTTCAAAAAATCCATATGAAAATCACTATTCCGGGAGCTGCCAAGTCGCGATGACTTCATTGATTATTACGGCGGACTTCATGGTTTCAGAAAAATCTTATTTTCTCGAAAACCGTTTACTATTTTAGAAAAATTCTCGGACTAGGAAACGTGGAAGGTTTAGGGTTATAACCCTTATTTCCGGAATTTTTTCAAATATGTAGAGGCTGTGTCGATTATGTTAAAAAAAATCTAAGAGACCCTGAAAATTGCCATAAAACGTGGGATAATTTGGTTTAAACAGCTTCGGATATTGTGTCGAGAGAGAGAGTTTCAAGTTTCGTCTATCATACAGGGTGCGCGAGATACTTGGAATAATATAATTGAAAATCGTCATTTTTTTATATTTTTTATATATTCTGGTACTTTGTATATTCTTTCTTCAATGCTGTATGCAAGTGTTTCCGGACTCTTCAGATTCGTGATATTCTTTGTAGGATAGGCAATTGGGTATGGACTTGATGATGTTGGAATTGACTTCTTCGATTCTTTGGTCAAATCTTTTGCTGATTCTTTATTGCCGGAAAGTTGCTACATTAATCAGAGCGTCAGTTAGTCTGAGATGTTGATGAGAGTTTGAAAACACCCTGTATATGAGCTTCGAAATAACCAAGAAAAAAGTACAAGTGTCGATTTTATAGAATACTTACCGACGCCACTGTATCCTGGTCGGTAACGGTAAAGTCCAGGGACCATTTGAGATCCGTTTCCTTGATATACTGCATCCGAAAGTCCGGCGCTTTCCTGCCGTTCCTGCGGGACGACCGGGATAGATGCAATTTTTTAGAAACCGCGTAAGAAACTAAAGGCAAAGGTCAAACGCACCATCGTGTCTCGTAGTGCCTCGAGTTGAATGCGTGGCAAAAACCGCTTTCCGTGAGCACCGGGAAAAACGCTTCGCAGCAATTGATTTCAAGCGATTTAAATCCACACCTGCCGAACACTTCCTCGCAGGGGTTCATCATCTGAAACAGTTTACCCTCCGACATTTAACTAAATGCTTGTACGTTTTTGCTCACTCTTTATTAATTTACATGCAAAATTCCCACTAAATATGTAAGAATAGCCCCCCAATTTTTGCATGGAAATTAATTGGTTTTTGAAATGTGGGATTTTGTTGGAAGGTTATATATCGTATATCAAGCTTATTAGAAAATTAAAAAATGGGCTTGAGGGCATACTCTAGAGAAACTTATATCTTTTTAAATGGGTATTGGGTATTTTGGATAACACAAAATCTATAAAGTTATGCTTGTTTTTAGTATTAAGCTTGTTCGTTATTTTAACAACAAACACAATCTGCAGTTTGTGTGTTTTTTTTGTAATCTGTATTGCAAAGTTTAATGAAAAAAAAATAGTTTCAATCCTATAAAAGTATTTTTAAGGTTAACATGAAAATATTGTATCTGTGCATTATTTTATTTTCTTCGAGACCAAACTATTTATTACTTATAAATATGTAGAAGAAACAGTTATCATTAACATTAAAATCAAAATAATGTATAGGCTTCCATCAGAACAAATTCAAGTGGTCCTTGCAGGGAAATAAAATATTCTGTCTGTGCATTATTGTATTTTCTTCTAGACAAAGCTATATATGTAGAAAAAAAACGGTGTTTCTAAAGATGAAAATTAAAGTAATGTTTTGTCTTCGTTTCGAATAAATTCAAGTGGATCTTGCAGGTCGGTAAAATATTCGCCCTAGTGCATTATTGCTTTTTTTTTCTAGCCAAAACTACAATCGAAAAAAAGTCAAAATAATGTACGAAAAAGGTTATCTTTTCAATCCGAATGAAATAAAAAATGAACGAAATTGTTGTTTTAAATTGAATACACGTTTTTTTTTCATAAGCATAACGAATATAGGTTTTTTTTTAAATTTATTAGGGTTAATATTAAGTATGAAATGCTTTGATGCACGCTGAATCCAAATAAGGACCCTAGTCGTCAAATTATTATTTTTAAATTTTTGTTATAAAATTGTAAGAAAACATAAAAAATAATTCGATTTCTTCTATTGGATTCGATTCGACCCCGAAATTTCGCGTTATGTACTTGTAATATTATCTCTCGGAGCTGCGAAGCTTGAAAAAGCTTCAGCCGATCGGCGGCATACTTTGCTACGAACTCTGGGATCGAATTCAACTTTAATCGGGTCAGATCTTCGTAAAAGAGGATCTCTTTCGAACCTTCCGAGCTGGAGTTAAGTCTAAGGCGAAAAAAAAAAGCGGTTTGAGGCTCTCCACGAAAGCAATTTCTTTGATCTCACGCTCTCAAAACTTTCGCGATCCTTTCGGCGTCGGCCGGATATTCCTGGCACAGGATGACGGCCGGGAAAGGCACTGCCCACGTGTGGAAATCGGTATCCAGACCGGTAATGGTCGGGTTCGTTTGAAACTTGTCCCACAAGTTAAATATGATGACCAATGTGGCTATGGTACCGGCTGTCACGCAGACTAACCAAAGGGCCCTGCAAAAATGAACCGCATCTCTATATCTGCATCCTAACCTAACGCGAACCTTATAAACTAATAACCCTGTGAAAACATTATGCTATAACAACAACAATAACCTGTCTCAATAAAAGTTTACAGACTGCGGTTCCTTATTTGTTGGTCTTTTCTCGTAGCATATTTTTTCTTTGTCACGTATATAATTTTTAAAAAATTGCCGCCTTTCCAGGTGAAACTTTTCAACTATACAAGTAAAACCACCACACTCTTTTCCACTACCAAAAGTGTGTCTTCTAGCACTAAAAAATAGGTTCTTGCAAAAGGAAATCATTTGAAATGTCGAATCTATCCTAAACAAACTGACATTTCAAACAGCTAACGAAATTCTCTAAATTGCTCTAAAGCCAGAACACAGCTCAAGATTACTTGATATATTCTTACATACGGATCCTATCGTAATCTATAGAGCGTAACCTTACATTCGTTTTTAAGGCTTTTTCTTTCTCAGAAGCATGACTCTAAAATTCTTCATCTCTACGGACTCACTAACATTCATAAACCAGGATTACCCCTTCGACCTTTTGTCAGCACCATTGGATCTAGAACATATTATGTAGCGAAATATCTAGCTTCTTTATTTAAAAAAATCCTAAGGATAATCTGGTTAGTTACGTATATCAAAGTTACTATTCCTGAAACTCTTTCCTGCCTTCTCCAAACATATGAGTATATGAGTTGGTACAGAGTAGAATCCGAGCCAGCTTCAGTAAAGCTCTGAAGAAGTCAACAGGATGATTGGTGAAACGTCATTAAAAATCGACCCAGAAAAAATTAGAAGATTTGTAAATAGTATACAGTAGCCTAGAGAAGTTGATTACGACTGGTTGCTGGCCAATCCGTAGTTTCAGTTCCAACCTCATTAAGGTAACTTTGCACAATCTGTAAAGATTCATCGAGTCAGTCAGTAGTGCTTCTTACAACATGATCTTGAACCATGATGCTGACCTAACTGAAACTATCCAAACCTAACTAAATAATGATCGCAGAAGATCAGTAAGATATGACACATATGCTAGACAATTTCGAATGTGGGAAAGATCAAAAAAACATAAGTAAGAAGATAGGTCGATGCAAAAAAATGACATGTGGGGTGGAAGGGTGGCAATGTCGTGCCGGAGAAAATGTTTATATGATAACGTCAATAATGGAAGGGAAACGGTGAAGGTAGCAGAAAAAGTGGACCAAACATGAATCGATCCTAATCCATTTTTTTTTGCCAGTTCTCTTCGTTCGTTTCTTAAAAAGAAAGGGTTTCATTATACTTTCCCAAACAGACTTTAAATATAGTCTAAAATGACAAATCGTGCATTTAGGGGCTAATAAAGTCGTCGCGACTACGGGCGAAAAATTAATAAGCAGGGAGGGAAATTAATTCCGGACGAAACCGGGAAACTTCGCCAACTTTTCAACTGCGCGAAACTCGCAAATTGTTCGCCGGGCTTTTAAAAGTTTGACATTGTTCGGGCGACGGCGGCGCCGGCCTAAACGGTCAGCGTCTCTCCCGGAGCGGAAACCCCGGTCCCCGGAATTCCCCCCGCCTTCCGGACTTGGATATCGTTGGTTTGAGGATGGATCAACGAATCTTTTCGGATCTTATTTATGCGAGAGCTCAAGAAAAGTTACGGCGGTTTTTTTTAGAGTTCTGTAATTTCCGGAGTGCCTCAAGGTTCCACACTTGGTCCTCTACACTTCCTAGATTTGCGAGTGTACGACTCTTGCCGATGACACACCCTTTCCTTGCATTGATCCTACTAGGTTAAATTAGATACAATACAATAACGTAAACCATTCTGCAAGCTCATCTTTAAGCAAGTGTGAGCTATGTTTTAGGATGACAATGTCGTTATGATCATTGCGTACATTAGTATCGTTTGCGTATACAGGTGATTTTTATATAATGGGAATACAACGGTACCCGGTAGGGATTCCACGATTCACTTATTTAATATCAGAGTTTCCTTTCTTTGTCGTTATTATCATCTCTTTTTTAAAAATGTTATTAGGAACTGTATATGATTTTGTGTACAACCGTACCTTTCGTACAGGGGCCGGTCGTACTCTGCGATGTATCGGACGCCATGTAGCGACGAATTCCTGAAGAACTCGTTGGTTTGCACCAGCCAGCTTTTGTTCAGGTACCCGAAAAACCGGCCCAATTTCCCGAAGAAGGTCCTGGTTTTGCTTTTTCGGCGAGTCCGCGCCATCGGTTTGCGATTCCCGCTTTTCCACCCCATGCGATCTAGAATAGACATATCGTTTCAAGAATAAGAATATAGTAACGCCGACCTATAAGTTCTACACATTCTATAGCTCTGGAAAAAATATCTATATCGATTTAAAATAAAACTAAAATAAATAAAAAACAATAAACGCTTCATGTTTTTTCGTTTTTAAATTATCGGAGCTACCTTTCACGTTTCCATTTTTATATTAACTGAGTGGTTCTCATTACCCTGACTCGCTCAGTCAACGGTTTTTTTAAGCATATAAGGGTAGCTTGGCAGCTCTAAATACTCAATATTCAATATATTTATTGCTTTCAATAGCATGGTATGGCAAGCAGCTGAGAAAACCTAGGACAAAAACCTTTTCGAAAAGTGCAACTTTTCCAGCATTAATAAGTGTAAAACTCGGTGAAGTTTATCTGGGTTTATGTATAATAATCTTGATTTTGATTGTCATTTGTATAAAAAAACAATTTCAACATATGATGGACTTCAAGGCTTGCTTCATACGATATACCTAGTAGGTTGAGGTTGCAGATCTAGAGTTCACCAGAAAAATATTTTAACTTAAAAAAAAATCCTAGTGATATTAATCATTATTTTACTTCTGTTTTCAGCAATGTTAACAATTGCCCCGAAAGCACTTCCTTCTATAAAAATCCCAAGTTCAACTCGAATATATCATTTACATTTATACTCGCTCAAACTATTGACTTCCAACCTTTTTTTTTATTAATTTTATTATAATATTATTTATATCAATTTGGATTTGCATAACTTATTTCTATATTTTTCTAGGCATAATCTTCAATTTAATGCTAATAAATGCGGTGTAATGTTCTTTTATCCTAAACCTAACACTGAACAAGTATATAATAGATTTTGCAAGAGAAAAGCAGAGGTCGCAAGTGTGACGTACGACGTGACATCAACGGATTTGGCCCCATTTAACTCAACACACCTAGACATCGACACCGACATGATTGAAAAATTTTGTACAAACTTTTTTATTTATAATTTTTTTTTGTAGCGATTCTCTACGGGGATTAGCTAGCTTATTCGACAACCCTGCGGGAATGTTTAACTTACCGGGACGTCTCAAAAGTGCCATTCCAGCAGCGAGGCACCTGCAATTGAGGCCTATTATGCTGCGATCCCGGTTAAACAATGGAAATTCCTGTCTGGCGCGGACACCGGCAGACGAATTAAATGTATAGCCGCGTCAGGCAGCCGTCGGATTACGCGTATAACGGTCCTCGTCGAATTCTCAGTGTTCCACAATGCCGGAATTACCTACGCCGCCGTCATGACGGCACAAAACAATACATTATAGATAAATTAAGGGCGTAGTAATACTGTATTATAATATCGCGTGTTCGAATGCCTCCGATTGCGATTTTAGTGCGGCCGCGGATGTACGCTTCCATAAAGCTCCGAAGAAGCCAGCAGGACGTAGACGACGGCAGCCCGTGGAAGTCTCTTCGAAAAATGAGGGAGTATCTTTTTTTTTTTTCGTTTTTTTCATATATTTTGTGTTTCAATTTCAATATTTCAATATTTCTACATATGCTCGATCTTTAATGGTAACTATCGTAACCTCATGGGCACATATGTCCGAAACCAAATATTTTGTAAAAATCCGTAATGCCCCTTTAGATATTTTAATGAAATTTGATAAATGTTTACCACGAATCAAAAGGCATCGATTAGTGTACCACACCGATAATGGGTGCACGTAATTTCTATTTCGGGAAGATATCGATGGCACGAAACTGATTTCCCTTAAATTCATTTCTAAAAAAATTTAACTTGGTTTCAATATTGCTTTTCTTATCATGCCAATGAACTTTTTAATAAACTCCCAACTAACGTCACATGTGCTCCAACTAATTCTGTTGCTTATTTTTTTTCCTTAAAACTAAGATGTATCGGGTAATTATATGAGCAACTAATTGTAACTGTTCTCTTAGCAGAATAAAGACGTTATTACTATTATATGGAGATCCTTGCCAAGGGAGGTGAAAATCAACAATATAGCAAACTTCCATTGAAAACACTCCAGAATTTGTTGACTTATAGTCATAAAATTATTTCTCAAGGCATACAAAGTTTCAAGGATTGTCTAGTCCTCGAACAGTTGAGATATGGACTGAGCTACTTCGTATTGAAGATTTTTAGTAAAAACATGCCTACCTCATCGCAATTTCACGGGGGGTGGTGTAAAAAGCACCAACTCCTACTACTTAAGTACGCACACTTTTTTCCAGTTTTGATGGTAAATACTGAAAAATCCCTTCTACATATTATCACGAACGAAAGCCAAAAAAAAGTCATCAGTTAAAAAAAAGATGTTTTAATTTTTAATGTTTCATTAATACAGGATAAATAACGGCCTTCTTATTTTAATTGAAACACCCTATATAATATTAATTAATAAATTTAATTATTCAATTTTGGTTGATCCAGGGAGAGTAAGAATGCAGTACAAAAATTAAATTATAAGAAGCATTTTTAGTTTATGAAAAATTATGATTATTAATATTAGTTTAAATATAGTCGGAACTACGTCTATGTATTAAACCCGTTCCATTTCAAGGGATATAAATGAAACATTGATATTTACAAAGCAAATTGTAAAATATAAAAACGTTACGATGACACAATATTATTTGCCACTATGAAAAAAAAAATTATAAAAATTAACAACCTACCAAGCCATTGGGGCTTGACCAATGTTTCAAGAGGATGTTTTTCGCTTTTCGTTCGGGACACCGGTTTGACATGCCGGTTCGCAATACATTTTTTATCTGCAAAAAAAAGCAATAATTAAGCAAGCAATACAAAGAAAACGTAAGGAATCGTGGAAAAATAATTTATGGATTTTGCTTGTGCTTCATGGCCTCATCCACCATATTCGCCAGATATGGCCCCGTGTGACTTTTTCCTGTTTAGCAGCAGAATCGTACAACTTTCCGCGCAGAAGAGAAAGGAAATATAGGGCCGCGCGGGTCAGTTCGGAAAACTTCGCGCACATTGCCCAGCTCTCGTACTAAACCGTCCGTCGCGGACGATAATAACAACAATGGGCGATGTTTACGGGCAATGGCGACAATAAAACTACGGCAAGATAACGGCCCGTGATTTCCTACCTATTGTCGGCAGGGAATATTTTGTAAAGCAATACGCTTTACGTTCCCTTCGCTCCAAATTGCCCGGGAGGTTGTCCTTTTTTTTGTTTTTCGATTGCATGCTCTTTTGTTCCGGCCGCGGTGCGATTGCAGAGAATAGGAACATCGATCTGGCCTTTTGTCTCAGATTGCTCGATCATTCTGCGTAGGATGGATAGGGCGGTTTTTCCAATTCTTTTGTTTCTTTTTTGAAAATGTTATTTAATTTTTGAAAATTGAGAAAAATTGTAAATGCAACTTTTCTTTACTTGTCTAATGGCAAATTACAAATAGCACCCTAGTGGGAACGAAAACTTAAAAACGGTACTTTTTTTGCGACAAATAAGCTCACAGGAAGAAAAGAAAATATTACTAAGGTGGCTTTGCTTCTATTCGTTATTTATTGTCAGATTAATATTTTTAAAAAGATAAAATTCAAAGGAGAGTTTCTTCTGAGATTCGACGATTAGAATTTTTTGTTGAAAATGTTTTATTATGTTACTGTAAGACAAGTTTTACATTGACGCAAAACCTCACATTCGTTTATTCTGGAACTGGCGTTTTATATTTATTTCAATTAAATAAGTGCGATAGATATTTACTTCATAACCAATTTATGCAGGGGTCGATTGTTATTGTTTTTTTTTTTAAATCTACAAACAGGTCAAAACGCGTTGTCATCGTAATCGTTCTGCTTTTATTTTGCGATTCGTATTATCCAAGAGTCCCATTTCGACCGATATTCATATTTTGTCGGCAACTTCCACAAATTATCAACAAAATTATCGGTAATTTTGATTAAGGGGGTGGCCGAACGGACACCGTATGCATTTTTAATTACGCGGGAGGGGGGTGGGGTCGCGTATTAAAATCGATATCCGTTTGATTGGTTTCCCCGCCGCTCCCCCCGCTAATCGCCGGAACAAATCACACGCGCCGTATGCGGCGCGGGCAATTAGTATTAAAACGCGTTTCGTTTACGGAATATTTGCATTGACGAATTCGATCCGGATCATATATTTTAAATTAATTAAAATCGTAGTACGGGCAAATAGCGGAGACGCCGTATTATGATTAACCGGCGTTTGTTTACTGCGATTTCCAATGACATCGAACCGATCCATTTTAATAATACAGTAATACGGTAGAGCAGAGGCGAAGTCTAGCAAAAGCAACTCCACTTAACCTCTCAAATATTTAAATAAGAACTAAAAGTTCAGATTTTCACGAAATTATATATATTCACATGACAATTGTTTTATCAAATGTAATATTTACAAACTACCTGTTACTATATATACCAAAAATGACAATAAAACCTTAATGTTGTTGTGAGAATTGAAGTTTAATAATGGAGAAGTATTTAAATCTAAGTGATCGTTAAGCAATACATTTGAATGTCTCATTTTGTTAATCTCCACCTCTATACATACAAAATGGCTGCATTTCACTCTTTTATACACACTTCTTGATACGCCACTGTCAACAGAAAAGTACAACAAAGAACCTAATATCATTAAACAAATTGCACTGAACAACGGTTACGATCCATCCATTATAGATAAAATTATAAATAAAAAACAAATCTAGACAACAGTAAACTCCATTTATCCGAAACCTAATACAGAACACGAACAATTTAAAACAATTACATACCTAGGAGAACCAAGTGAAAAAGTTTCAAAACATTTGTCAAAATGTGGTTTTAAAGTAGTTTTCAGAACTAACAACACAATAGGAAAATTTTTAAAAAATAGTAAGACGAAATGTCCAAAACCTCAAAAATTAGGTCTCTGAAATGCGGATGTTGTCCTAAAATTTATATTGGATAAATAGGTCGATCCATTAACGAACATAAAAGAGCGTTTAAAAACAATAGTCTAGATTTTAATTATGCTACACACTTAAGAAAATCCAGCAGACCATCAGGTCAGCGAAGGACACGAGGGACTCACTTTCAGCTGCAGGAGTCTACGCATTCCGTGTTCATGCGGAAAGGTCTACATCGGAACTACCAAGAGATCAATGGGAACGAGACTTAAGGAGCATAAAGCAAGCTACAGGCTAGGACAGACAGAGAAGTCTGCAGTAGCTGAACACGCACTGGGCAGCGGGGAACACAGGATACACTTTGAGAGCTGTAAGTTACTAGCATCGGTCAACGGCTATCACAACAGACTAGTCAGGGAAGCCATTGAGATACAAAAACACCCATACAATTTCAACAGAAAGGAGGAGACCCTTAGACTCGACCAAATCTGGAACCCGATCCTTAGGAACGCCCGAGCAGTACCGATCGACATCCCGAGACCAACCGAAGCGGAACAAGCCCCGCCCACCACCAATCGGCATAAATACAACCTGCGCAGGAGAAATCATCAGTCTATGTCCAACATCGGAGATGGAAGGACCTCTGAAGAAGCTCGCCACTCGTGCTAGCGAAACGTTAGGAAGTAATTCTAACCGACGACTGCCTTTAAACCCGAATCAAGATAATAGCTCAATTAAAGTTTTATTGTCCTTTTTGTATATAGTATCAGGTAGTTTGTAAATATTACATTTGAAAAACACACGGTGTTGTCGAAACAATTGTCATTTGAATATATATAATTTCGTGAAAATCTGAACTTTTAGTTCTTATTTATTGTGTTAAATGGATTTTCATCAAGTAAAAGCCACGTCAGTTCGATTTTTAAATGTTTAAATTTGAAAACTAAATAGGAAGTTATAAATACATTGATAAATTAAATATAGTGTAATAGATAAATGTAATAGTAATATGAAACAATAAAAAGTTAAAAAAAGTAAAAATAAAAAGGATAACATTGAAAACAATATTTTTTGGGAAGTTAGCAGTTTCAATCTGAAATATTTTTGTAAAGAATTTAATTGAATGTAGTTTTACTGATACCGTGGCAGTTTGAGTCTGTAGGGGTAATAATTTGGAAAATTATAGACGCCAAAATGTACTTGAAAGTACTGTCAATTTCATTGTAAATCCTATCAAATTTACGCAAGCCGAAAATAAATCTGCAACAGCTGTTTTGATTTTTTTGCAAACTATATCTATATAATAATAACAATAGCAACAAAGGAGTTTCAGAGGTTGAATTCATCCGCCTTGAGGAGAGGAGAAAATGCATAATCCAATTGGTCCATTTTCTTTGCCGTTTTGTACAAAACGCGTATTTTGTCTAATAATTGAGACTCCGGTCTTCTTCCACAGAATCCGATAGTTTTAGTATCTTTGGTATCTTCTACTTGTGCGCCTTGTTTGCTAAATTGAGTTCTGTTTGTGCCTAGCTGTCCGGTGTTTTGTAATTCCGAAAACTATGGTGCATGTGTCATGGATAAAGAGCTATCGGCAGTTCACTCAGGCTGGCGTAGTTCGAAATTTGTAGGTACCGGCCATATTTTCAATTTTTCCGAATACATAGCTTTTCGGTATAATACGAAATTTTTGCTTTCAAGGACATTCTGCACAGTTATTGCCAACAATTTCAAAGTATTTACAAAAAATCTCCACTCAAATGTCTTGTTTGGTAGAAGTAGGAGAGATTTTTTTAAATTCCTCTGACTCAGCTCGTGTTATGGCGATACGTTTTCCTTTATTTGTTGGTATTTTCGTCAGATAGTTTTGAGTAAAATCAACCCATCCTTTAGATACAGTGTCGTCGTGCATCGAACCACGTTTCATCAATATGGATCTGTGTAATTTCTTGCAAGTAATTAAATCTCCAATCTCCATTGCTACTTGGCTTTTGCCTATTTTGCGGCACTTAAATCATATTTTACAAACAACTCAATAGCACGGCTTATATTTATATTGGTTTCATTTTCCTCTAGCCTCTTTTTCAGATTTTTCAAGGTAGGAATAACTTTACTTTGATGTTTTCGTTCTTATTAGGTCCTATTCACTATTGTCTATATGACAGGTTTGAAAATCACTACGTGATAACGAAAAAATCGGACCAAGCAACAGTTTCAGTTAAGCTCTAGAGAAGTTTGAAAAATTCGAATAAAATTATTAATTTTAGCTGCATAAAAATCGCGAATAAACACAAAATACAAATTTGTAGGTTATAATTTTGCCTCTTTTCGTGGCAGTAGAGCCGACCTCTTTCTGGGTGGTAGAAATTGCGTCCCACTCGGGCCTTTATTTATTCACCTATTAACCCGTATAGAGTCGAAGCGTTATTAATGTTGATCGTAGTCGCTGTTCAATTTTACCCCCGAGCATACAGACCGGCGCGTAATTGTATACCGAGATCGTGTGTCGTAAATTTTCGACGAGCGTGGAAAACCCAAGTAAAATTTTTATCGGTCGTCTTTATTGGCCGCCCTTCGTTTTTAATCACCCGCTTTATTAGTCGACCCTTTAGGGCTTGATACACTCGCGACCGTGTTTCCCAAACCGAATTTATTACTCTTTTTTTTATTAACCACTTTATTTAACGCAACGTATATGAATACGTTCCGTTGTATCGAGTACTATATAATTGTAATCATATACGGGGTGTTTTCTAATTGAATTTGAATAATTAAGGCGGCGGTTTTTGAGTTTATTTTAAAAAGAAAACCTCATATTTAAAATACATATT